TAATCAGCGTGGGGATAAAGGGGTCGTTCGTCAAAACCGGTAATCAATAAAACAGGAACAATAGAGACTTTTCGATGATTACGTCCCCTTCTCGTTAGCTGATGCCAAAGACCCATCAGAATGGTGTCTCCCGCGATACTCTCTCGACAGACTCAGAGAAATTTCTCTGTCTTCTGCCAGGATTCCAAACTAGAAGAAAATATTCTAGAGGATCTCCCTGTCCTTCAGAGGAATGTCTTCAGACACCTTCTCTGGATCCATATCTGGACGACCTCTTTGAGGCTAAGGAAAGTCGATTAGAAAAAAGTTTGACCAATCCCTTCAATTTATTCAAAAGCGGATTCTGAATTCCATGGGGCCTCTATGTCACCTGTGGCATAACCTTGATAAGATCCGCAGAGAGGTGAATCCCCATGATTTAGACATCTTTGAGCTGTTGGAATTGGTAGAAAACCACCTGTCTTATCGGTCAGGCTAATGTCTCCATGAATTACAACAGAAGGCTAAACATTCTGGCTAAACTTTCTAAGGATGTCAAGAAGGCTAAAGCGTCTCATTCTCAAGCATGACACAGCCTTGTCAGAGGCTAAGGGCAGACTCTTCGGAGATGCCTTTTATGGCGTCATGCTGAAGGAGGTAAAAGCGTAAGACCAAAGCCAAATTGATATTTGATGCTGAGAGGCGTTCAGCTCTCGCAGACCTACTTTCAGACACCAAGGGCCCAGTCACCCTGATAGACAGCCCTTTCAGAGAATGCCCTCAGGAGGAAGACTATCTACTGGGGCACATTCCATCAAGCCCTCCTTCAACAGAGGTTTCAGAGGCAACTCTTCCAGAGGCAGAGGAAGAGCCGGTCAGTCCGGTCGAATCGCAGACTCTCTTATATCAGGTGGGTCAAATGTCAGCAACGTCTGTTCCCACAATGCTCCTCCTTCCTCAATGCTACATCTACAGGTTATCCCAGCAATTCTAGAGCTAAACCTGGATCTTCTGTTTTACAAGGAATCCCTCATAGGGGGTCGTCTGGTACACTTTTTAAAAAACTGGCAAAAGATCACTTCAGATCCATGGATACTTCAGACAGTTTCGGGTTTCGAGATTCCTCTGTTGTCAAAACCTATTCAGAATCGGCGTGTTTCAACCAAAACTAAAGCTCACAAGACAGTTAGCCTTGAGCCAGGAGATCCAATCAATGCTTTGCAAACATGTGATAGAGGTTGTTCCCCAGTCTGCTTCGATGGACTCGGATCAGTTTCTAAGTCCTATGTTCATGGTTCCCAAGAAGGATGGAGGGCAGAGGCCAATCATAAATCTCAAGGCCCTCAATGCTCACATTCCTTACAAACACTTCAAGTTGGAAGGACTACATCTTCTAAGGGACTTGATCCGCATAAAGGGACTACCTTTGCAAGCTGGATCTGAAGGATGCTTACTTCAGCGTCCCAATGGCACCCACATGAAAAAGCTACTCCGCTTCTCTTGGAAGGGTGTTCTGTATCAGTTCGATGCATGCCATTTGGACTTGCCCCAGCTCCAAGAGCATTCACAAAACTTCTTAGCCCAGTGGTAAGTTTGGCGGCGCGAGCAGGCATCCGCTTGATTATATACCTGGGCGATATCTTGTGTATAAGCGGAATCGCCGACCCTGCTGAGTCAACACAGGGACACCCTCATCTTTCTCCTCCAGTCCCTAGGCTTTGTCATAAACTGGAAGAAATCAGTTCTGTCACCAACCCAGTCGATCACTTTCCTGGGGTTTCAGATAAACACAGTGGATCGTACTCTGATCTTACCAGAGGAGAAGGTAGAGAACATTGTAGCAACCTGTCGTCACATGATGAGAAAGAAACAGGTAAGGATTAGACAACTGGCAAGTTTGATAGGAAAACTGTCAGCTACAATGAGAGCAATCTTACCCGCTCAACTGCATTGTGCGTTACCTGCAGATGCATTGAGCAGGGGCTTTTAGTTCTCAGAGCTACTGAGTCAATGATTACACTGCCTTCGGTTTGTCTGGAGGAACTGAAGTGGTGGATGACCAACCTCACCAATTTCAGCGGGGAAGCCAATCATGGCAGCTCATCCAGATGTAATTCTCCAGACAGATGCATCAAAAAGGGATGGGGAGCAATACCGCGGCCAGAGATCAACAGGAGGCCGCTGGTCAGAGATAGAGCAGAGTATGCACATAAATGTTCTAGAGCTGAAGGCAATTCATCTGGCACTCTTGACCTTTTGCAAGGGGATCAAAGATCAATCTATTTTGGTCCAAGTGGACAATCAGACAGCCATGGCTTATGTGAACCCGATTTGGGGCACAAAATCAGTCAGTCTGTTGCAGATCACAAAGCAGATATGGGGTTTCTGTCTCCAGAACCGTCTGTTCTTAACAGCAGTCTATCTGCCAGGGGTAGAGAACATTCATGCGGACTGGGAGTCTCGCCACTTCAAGCGACTTCGGCGATTGGATGCTCAATCCAATCATCTTTGCTCAATGCAACCAGATACTGGGTCCCTTCTCAATGGACCTTTTGCATCGAGACTGACTTTCCAAATGAAGCCTTTCTGCAGCTGGAGGCCAGACCCCTTGCACAATCAACAGATCGTTTCTAGTGAATTGGAACCAGGGGATTCCTTATGCCTTTCCCCGTTCTCACTGATAGGCAGGTGTCTGTGGAAGATCCGAAAGGACAAAGCGGAGCTGGTCTTAATAACTCCAGTGTGGCAAGGTCAGTCCTGGTATCCACTCCTCTTGGAGATGGCGGTCACAAAGCCAATCCTCCTCCCACAGATGAGGGATCTGTTAAACTCCCATAAAACCTGCCTCATCCACTGATAGAAAACAACACTCTGGTGTTAGCGGCATGGAAGGTTTCAGGCGTAGCATCAAGACCAGAGGGAATTTCAGAGGCGACTACACAGCTGCTCTCCTGCCAATGGCGACCGGCACACAAAGGCTTACAATGCTTCCTGGAATAGGTGGACTGGCTGGTGCAATCAACGGGGTTTTGATCCCTTTTCAGCCTCTGTGGAGTCTATCTTAGACTTTCTCACTCACTTGTACCACGAGAATAGTCAGTACAGGACCATAAATACAGCTAGATCAGCTTTGTCTGCTTTTCACCCCACTATCGAGGGCTATAATGTGGGTCAGCACCCACTGGTCAGGAAATTAATGTCAGGGATTTTTAATCAGAATCCTCCTCAGCCCAGATACTCAGTGGCCTGGGATGTAGATTTGGTGCTGCAATATTTGAAAAAATTGAAAGATAATATCTTTTTGTCGGATAAAAACTTGTCTGGGAAGTTGACAATGCTTCTGATGCTAACCTCTGCTAGCAGGTCTTCAGAGTTATCTTCCCTGGATATCAGACACATGGTAGACAGGGGCACTGAAGTAGAATTTACCCTGATTAAACCAACCAAGGTGACTAAGACAGGAACAAAACCTCATCCCTTGAGTTTCAGTGCCTATGAGAAGGACCCTGCACTCTGTGTAGTTCGATGCCTTAGAGTGTGCTTAGAGCGCACAGAACCTTGGAGAGATGAATGTAGGTCTAGCCTTCTCTTGAGCTATGTGAAACCGCATAAACCGGTTTCATCCCCAAGTATTGCAAGATGGGTGACAAATCTTATGAAGCGAGGTGGTATATTGACACTTCACACTACAAAGCTCATTCTGTCAGAGGAGCTAGTGCTTCAAAGGCATTTGCCAAAGGTGCTTCTGTCACAGACATTTTGAAGTTGGGAAACTGGACCAAGGCCTCTACTTTCAGAACCTTTTATCTGAGAAATACTATCAGCAGTGGCAACTGCTTGTCAAAGATACTTGACACTACCGGGCTTTGAACTACCAATATCACATCTACTATGTTTATGACATGAAATTGGAAATTTCACAAGCACACGTAGTGTGTAAAGTGAAATTATAATTTCATTAGTAAACATAGTAGATGTGATATTCCCCTACCCTGTCTCCCACCCTGAATTGCCTAGATTGTTTGGCATTTCTCAGAGTTATTGCATTGCTAAGATTTAACTTCATTCCAGGAAACATTTTGAATTTATGTCAATCTTAATGGATTTTAATATTTTACAGTTTTGGATTGATCTGAGTGATTCAACCAAGTCATAGCTGATAATGCTATGCTCTTTACTTACAGTTGAGTGCTGTGGGTCTGGACTACAGCCGGAGCTGGCCAGGAAGAGGAGGCTCCACTGGATGACTTGTGGCCACTGACCCCATCTAGGGTTTTTCCGTTTGAAGTTCTAATTCAATAGATCTGTATGATCTGATTAAATGTTTTTCCTTTACTCTGTGTTCTTTTCTAATTTCGTCCCTTATGAAGAAGGGTTTATGGGTAATTTGCCTCGCGAGATCTCGCACAGCGAGACTTCGCTAGCTTTAAATATGGCCTACTTCCGGATATCATGATGAAGATACCAATATCACATCTACTATGTTTACTAATGAAATTATAATTTCACTTTACACACTACGTGTGCTTGTGAAATTTCCAATTTTAACTGCTCTGTCACCAATATGTTGTCTTCACCACAGTGTACATTTGTGAACCTGTCTCATGGCCAACATGTCTATTTTAACTGCTCTGTCACCTGTATGTAGTCTTCACCGCAGTGTACATTTGTGGACCTTTCTCATGACAAACATTTATATTTTAACTGCTCTGTCACCAATATGTTGTCCTCACCGCAGTGTACATTTGTGAACCTGTCTCATGACAAACATTTATATTTTAACTGCTCTGTCACCAATATGTTGTCCTCACCGCAGTGTACGTTTGTGAACCTGTCTCATGACAAACATGTATATTTGAGCTCCGTCACCTGTATGTAGTCTATATTACTCGTCTATGATGTCAGTTTTGCAGTGTGTGTGTAAGTTGTCCAAATAACTTTGTATTCATGTATGCCATTATTCAGATATATCTGTTCTAGTTATTAGTATATCATCTGTAGTACAACTGTATATATTTCAGCTGGAACGTCTGCAACAGCAGATGCGAGACATGAAGAAGGAGCATCGCAAGGAGAAGGAGGTGATTGTGGAAGACTTCAGCAAGCAGATCAATGAGCTGGAGGAGAAGTTGGGGGAGAAGATGCGTGAGGTGGAGCTCATGCAGTCAGAACTGAAGATGGTCAAGGAGTTCCGGCGGCGGCGGGGTCAGATGCAGAAGGAGCTGGATGAGGTATGTCAGTCAAGATATCTGTCATCTGTTTTCAGCTTCATTTGACCCAGATTATTACAGAGACAGATTAATTACAGAATAGTACAAACTAACATTTCTGTCATCAGAAACTTTGCCGTGCTCAATATTCCCCTTTCATCAGTACCATATCAGTACTCACCAAATTCATAACATCCAAGAATTCTCCCCTAACACTAAATTTCCTTTTTTGCAGAAACTTGTCTGAATCCACAGGTTGACTTGAATAAAGATAAAAAAAAATTAAAATCCAATGATTGTGTAGTCCTTCCTTATGGTCCACCAAATGCTCTCCATGAAAGTTATCTAAGACCCCATTGGAAGTGTGGGGAATACCTTGTAATTTTCCTGTGGCTCACATGTTCACATTTGTGAAATTTCCACTTTCTTCAAAGGTTTGGCTATTCATTTCTCTATTATAATGAGTAAATCTTAAGGATCTAGATTCATCTCAGCTTCCCAATCTGGTACAAAAGACTTGTGTGATGCCTATGGTAAACTAATGCTCCCACAAGATCCACATTCTGACTGCTGGGGATGTTTGGCCACACCATGTTCTTTTGTATCTCACTATGAAGCTTGTCAAACTCTTTCCCCTGAAGCCTTTGAGAAATATGCATTGGTTATAAAAAGATCAAGTAAAAAAGTTACTGAAAAAACCTGGACTCCTACACCTGCAAAAATCCCCCTTGAGTCCGGATAGATTTCAGACAAACAGTGGAACTTGGGGGAGCCAGTAATAAGGGAGATATGTTCATCGCCTATATATGCTATGAAGGAGGCCCTCTTCGCAGCACTGAAGCCATTCTTGGAATTTTTCTCTTTCTTGCCCCCATCTAAGAAACCCCTTAAGCAAAGTCAAAGTCCAGGGCACTGTCAGCAACTATGACATCATTTGAGCTTAGGCATGGAGGATCACACCACTACTAGAACACTTATGAAGAGAACCCACTAGATGTACAGACTGTACAGGCACCAGGGATTGGGAGGATTTAGTGATATCCTCTACCAGCTCTTCACATGCTACAGCAGAACATATTTTCTAGAGAGAGATCACTCTTGGAGAGCTACCATGAAACTACATGTACCACACAAGCCACATGGACCACATGGACCTGAAGATCCATTCAGAAGTCTCTCCAAAAAGATCAGCTAGTCAGAGCTCAGACTGCATGAGCCACACGGACATCAGGGAACACATGGGCTGAACAGACTAAGATTTTGTTATCTGACCACAAGGATAAAAGGTCTCATTCCATGGAGTTCTACACAGGCCGAGACTCAGCTGAGCAGGAGTATAAATCATTATATGGTCTGGAACTTAGAGCAGATGTATCAGATCATAGTTCAGCCAGATATATGTTTGCACATAAACTGGGGGCAATCAATGTAGTTTTCCCTGATGCCATGACACCTGTTTTTTCATCAGGAGGAATTTGCTTCAGAAATGCAGTGGCCAGATGCACCTATATTTAATATCCGTTGTGTACTTTTACAAAAATCTCCTTCGATTCAATTCATTTCATAAGCTGTACGCATTCTTCTCCAAGGGAGATAATTCTGTTTTGTGTTCTCACATGTTTTGATTTGATGTGCTTCGGACCCTGATTTTGACACTCAAGTATATAAAAGGTGTGTTATTATTTACAAAGCTATTTAATTTTCATATTACACATGTCCAGTAATATAAGCTATATTCAAAGTGCTAGGCATTTCATTTTCTAATAATGTTAAAGTGTATTTTTCATGTTAGAAGTGTAAAACTCGCATTCAAATGTAACATTGACTGCGGCTACTAAATTTACCTCTGTTTGATTGTTTTGCAGTCAATCTAATAGAATCTCCTTGTACTAAGGCAATGAACTTGACTATAATCTACAAGAAATGAATAGAAGTATATGAAGATTCTGTATTGTCGTTCTTGAAGTGATGTTTTGAAACCAAGAAACCAAGAAACCAACATCCGGACTAAGAGGAAGCTCTCACAATCATCCTTTCAGGCAAAGATTATTAAGGATCTGGAACTCAAATCACACTTGTCTTAATAATCTCGACCCACTGGGAAGGAATTAACTGGAAAAGTCACCTTATTTGGATAAATAGTTCCAAGAATGTTGTGGTGGAGTTAAAAAACAGGAACCAAATAGGAACAGAACACTGTGGTGGGGGATATTGATGACCATGTCTTCTTGTTCAAATTTTTTTTATCTTAGATATATACTACCCATCAAAAGTTTAGACTCACTAGTGTAAATGTAGCCACTTACTTCAGTCAACTGTTCTAAACTAGATTTTGCAATATATCCCTTACTGATTAAAGGTACTGTTTACACATAAACTGAGGTATTGTAAAACAAATTTGTAACGTTGAATAGATTATTGTCATGAGTTCAATAAATGATGAAACTCAGTGAAAATTGGTGAATTCTTAACAAAACTACACACCAAAACGCAACTGTTCACATGCACGATATTTGCACATGCTTTTCAGCAATTTGATGCATTATCCTCATGCAATTCATCTGCATAAGGTTTGCAGTTGGTTCCCCCAAGTTAGTGGAGAAATTCATCTTCGATGTATTCACATATTTATACATTACATATAGTGAGTGCTTTAAGTGAGTCTTAACTTTTGATGGGTAGTATAGTTGCATACTTTAATACATTCAAGATGATTTCCTTTACATTTTCCAGTTAATAATAATAATAATAAATGGATATTTCTTATGCGCCATAGTCCATCCAGAGCATGCTCAAAGCGCTACATATAAAAAGAGTCACTAGAGTTCAAGAGGAAGATATGACAATTCGTCAAAATGACCATGAGAATATTTCGCAGTTATAGGTTGTAGACTTTTTTGAAGAGTAAGGTTTTGAGTCCCGATTTGAATGCTTCTAAGGATGAAGCATTTTGTATGGGAGTAGGAAGACTGTTCCATAGGGTTGGTGCTGCAAATTTGAATGATCTATGGCCAAAGTGTTTGAGACGAACTTGGGGAACTGAGAGAAGATGTTGATTCTGGGAGCGGAGAGAACGGGCAGGCATATATGTTGACAACATCTCAGAGAGGTATGGAGGAGCTAGGCCGTGTTTGCAGCGGAAAACAAGAGTGCAGATCTTGAAATGAATTCTGGCTTCAACCGGCAGTCAATGCAGACTCTGGAGGATTGGGGTTATGTGAGTCCATTTGGATGTTTTAGTGACAACTCTGGTGGCAGCATTTTGAAGTTTTTGAAGTCTGAAGAGAAGATCATTGGAGATTCCAAACAGTAGGCTATTGCAATAGTCAGTCCTGGAGAGAACAAGTGACTGAGTGAGAACTTTAGCAGCATCTGTGGTTACAAGATGGTGGATGTTACCAATAGAGTGGAGATGGAAGTAGCCTACTCTACAGAGATGGTTCACATGTTGCTCCATGGTGAGACAAGGATCAAGATAAACACCTAGGTTTCATACACTGGATGAAAGTGGGATATCTGAGTTGGCTACTGTGATGTCCGTAGAGTTTATCCTTTTCAGACGTTGCGATGTGCCAATCAACATAGCCTCAGCTTTATCATCATTGAGCTTCAGCTCATTTGTCATCATCCATGAACTAATTGCCTTCATGCACTGACTCATTCTTGATCTGGCTATTTGTACATCCCCTGGTTTGAAGGAATCCATCAATTGGAGGTCGTCTGCAAATGCGTGGTGATGGACATCAAAGTTATCAATGACCTTCTCCAAAGGGTTTGTGTACAACACAGAGAAGCGGCCAAAGGACTGAGCCCTGGGGTACACCACACTCTAGGATCGTTGACTCAGACATGCTTTCAGAGACAAGCACTGACTGACTCCTCGTGCTCAGATAGGAATGGAACCAGGCCAATGCATCCCCTTGTATGTTATAGTCATCCTGAAGATGGCTGAGGAGCTTCTGATGGTTGACCGTGTCGAACGCCGCTGAGAGATCAAGCAAGAGGAGAAGTGACACATTACCCAAGTCTGCATGGCATTTCAGGTCATTGAGAATTTGAAGTAGTGCGGTCTCAGTACTGTGCCTAGGACGATAGGCTGATTGGAATCTATTAAGAAAATCATTTGAAGAGAGATAGGGGATCTGAGTCTGACATCAACTGCACGTTCAAGGATCTTGGAAAGGAAAGAGAGGTTGGAGACAGGTCTATAATTCTTGAGAGTATTGATATCCAAATTGTCTTTCTTCAGTAATGGCTTTACCACAGCTTGCTTGAACACCTCTGGAAAGACACCATTAACTAAGCTCAAGTTGATTAGTTTCGTGATAACTTGCAAAAGAGTCTCCAAAAAGTCATCAAGGAGACGAGTTGGCATTGGATCGAGAAGACACAATGTCTTTTTTTGACCGTTTGATGAGTGCAGCTATCTCACCCTCAGTGAAAGAATCAAAGGTGTCCAGACAGATCCTATCATCGGGTGGACATGTTGAAGGATCCTGTGTGTCAAGAAATGTTTGGTCAAAGCTTTTCCTGATATTTTCAATTTTACTTGAGTCAAGTTGAGAAGTAGGCTGAAAAATTGTCTCCAATGTTTAATTGGATTTCTAGTATAAACAACCTTGACCAGCTATCAAACTGCTTGGTTTCATTCAAGAGAGACAACTCTGTTAATCCTTTTTCATTGGTTTGTGAAGAGTTATTCCCCTTTGTTTACTTGCTAGCAGACAACATTTTCAGTGATCCTCAGTATGGATGATTTAGAGAAGAGGAAGTTGATTTTAGAGTATTATAACAAGGACATCAGATCAACTAAAGTGATTTCAAGTAGAACAGGCATCCCTTTGTCCACTGTTTATCGTGTTTTGAAAAATATTGCAAATGGATATGGCATTGAGCATCAGGCAGGGCAGGTAGGCCCAGAATATTGACTGTCGGTGACAGGAGGCGGCTTGGTATTCTTGTTTCTAAAAACAAACGAAGGAGTTTAGAAAACTTAAGGCTGGATATGATTGATAGAGGAACTGCTGCTGTCTGTAAGGAGACAATTAGAACTGAGCTGCATGCAATGGGTTGGCCGAAAAGTCGAGGAATTCCATCACCGATCATGAAAGCTGAACAAAAGGAGCGAAGGTTGAACTGGTGGTTACAGCGTAGAAATTTTAACTGGGACAATGTGATTTTCTCAGATGAAAGTTCTGTGTGGCTGTTTCCTAATACACTGAAATTCTGGACCAAACAAACTGAAAAACCTTTGTATCATCGCCCAAAGTACAGTTCGAAATAGGGGTGTGGGGTGGGGTGTCATATCTGTGTTAGGGGCAACACCCCTTTGTGTATTTGAAGGGAATATGAACAGTGAGCGGTACACAGATATTCTCGAGAGACATTTACTTCCATCTGCTCACGTGTTCTATGGAAAGTTTTGGATTTTCCAGCAGGACAACGACCAAAAACATCGTTCAAAGCATTCACAGGCCTGGTTTTGGACCCAAAATATAACATTATTAGATTGGCCAAGCTATAGCCCTGACAAAAGAAAATGTTTGGGGACTTATGAAGGAAAGTGTCAATAAGAAAAATCTGACAAATATTGCTGAAATGAAAGAAGAAGTGGTCCGATATTGGGACAGCATGGACCACGACTTTCTAACTTCTTTGATCGGTAGTATGCTCTGCCGCATTGAAGCCTGCATTGCTGCCCATGGTGACTTGACAAAATACTATCTGTTCACCTGTCTTTGAATCTGGAGTTATGTTCTGCTAATATTCACATTTAAGACGTGAGTAATGAGTGAAAAAATATAAAACAATTCTCTAAATTCTCAATAATTTCTGGTTGTACTGTAAGAATGGTCCTCCATGGCAAATGTTGTAGTGATGGACATGCATATCACATGCATTATAAATATATACATAGATGTTGACCGTTTGTTTTCAGATCAAGGAAGCCATGCACAGTGCCAACAGGGAACATAAGGCTACTCTTGCCAGGATGGAACAGAAATTCTTTGAGGAAAAGGTAGGTCGTCTTCAGAATTCAACAGGAAGTAGCAAATTAAGATATCAAAGAAATATGTGACTGTGTCATTGTTAATAGTTTGAGACCATTGTGATGCTGGACCCCTGACAATGATTGTTTCAGATGCGCTTGCAGCAGGAAGCTAATCAGAAAATAGCTGAGTTGGCAGAGAAGGCTCACACAGAGGCTATATCGTAAGTTTAAATAACTTCAAAGCAATGAATCTTTCTTGAAACGTTAAGGTTAACTACCATGAGAGTTGTCCAGTATAGAATTCTGCTGAGTCAATCAGTGCAGGTATCTACCAGGCCCGCATGTAGCTGGGCCAATCAGTGCAGGTATCTACCAGGCCAGCATGTAGCTGTAGTATTCGTTGGTTTCACATTACTTTTCAACTTGCTGTGCGCCATGCGCAGAGCGTGTGAAAAATATCCAATGGCATGTTTCTGGTTTGGTCGTATGTTTATCGATAGTGTAAACACACCAAAGAAAACAAAAATCAAAACAAATATATAGTTTTATGTCGAATACAACTGATCCCAACTGATTTATGAAACAGAGGCCGGGATTAGTTAAATAAATAGCTTCATTTATGCCAGTGGATATTTTCGCATCCTCTGAGCATACGCACAGCGAGTTGAAAAGTAATGTGAAACCAATGAATTGCTGACTAGGGCCACTAACACAACCAGATAACAAACTGTCATCATTGCCTTGAAATATGGCAGAATTGTTGCCCTGTTTCTGGAGCTATGAATACAACAAAAACACTGAGGCATAGCCAAGAGTTGTCATTCAATGCAATGATTTCATATTTGTACTATTTATATTTGTACACAGCTTTAGATGATATCAGTGTAAATATGTTGAAGACAACTGTGCCTTGTTCCTTCTTTTTTCAGAAAGAAATTTTGTCATCCTGCTTTCTTGTTAGCATGTTAAAAAAAAGTATTCTGAATAATTACAGCATTAAATAGTGTTTGTCCAATATATTTATCCATGAAGCTGTTGTGAAAATATATCTGAAGTTAGACCAATATGTCATCAGCCACAGTGTTGGTCACAGACTATTTTGATCTGAATGTTGTGTAGATGTAGTCACCTTGAAGTGGTGTTCAATCCACCTATAGTCCATTTGACTCCATTTGAGACCAATGAATTGCTCACCAACACAACATCTAACAAATACAACAAAATCAAACTTTGCACAGTCACATGAAATCGACAGACCAAGAATGCGAGTTGTACATGTGAAATTGAAATTTCACTACACATGCTTATTGAGCACCTGGCTGTTCTACCAGCAAGTGGTCACCCCTCGTAAAAAAATAGCGAAAAGTGACCACAAAATAATGATCGTTTGTTAAACAACATTGTTATTCGGGTGTCCAAAATTATGAGACAAATCATCAGAGTTGGTCTGTCGATTTCATGTGACTGTGCAAAATTTGATTTTGTTTCATGTATTAGATTTTGTGTTAGTGAGCAATTCATCGGTCTCAAATGAAGTCAAACGGACTGTAGATATCTTACATATATTTGTCAAATTAGCAGTAGTAAAGCTGATAGACACTTCCAAGTTATTTCATTTTTTGGTTGTGGATTTTAACTTTGGTTGATCAATTCTTCAAATCAAATTTGTTTTTTCAAAAATAGTTTTGTGTACTTTCTTGCTGCAGTAACCTGGATGAGACAACTAAGTCTGTGTACAAGGAGAATGTGCGACTGACAGAGGCCCTGAACTACCACATGAAGGAAGGGGACATGTTGAAGAAGGAGCGTGAGCGACTTCTGGGAACTGAGTGAGCGACTCCAGGGAGAGAAGGAGGTCAACGAGCTGATGGTCCAGAATAAGGTGGTGCAGGCCAAACAGCAAAAGGAGGAGATTAAGCAGGTGGGTTGTGCTTCCTTCCTTTTGGGTAATCAAAGCTGCTGCCATTTAAGTTGCATCCCGTAGCTGTGCCAGGACCCGTGAACACCGGGTTAGCAATTGCTCTTCAGCAACTCATGCTTGTCATAAGAGGCGAGTGACAGGATTAGGTGGTCAGACTTGCTGACACATGTCATCGTATCCCATTTGCGTAGATCGATGCTCATGATGTTAATCACTGGATCGTCAGTGATTTACAGACCGCCGCCATATAGCTGGAATATTGCTGAGTGTGGCGTTAAAACTGTGCCAGGATTTGCTTGCGAGTATGAATCCCAAACTTGTACTGATAATGATACATGATTTGTTGTCATGGAACCCATGCTTATATGTGTTACATATCAGTATCTATAAACTGTGTCAATTAGGGTTTTCTTTGCACATTGAGCTGTCAACTAATTTCAACTATTTCATTCTACTCCTGTTTGGATTCTTGTGTTACTGGGATACATATTGTTTATGATGTGTCATCTTTATCTCCTAATTATTATACCTCTGTGTTCATGCATGTTCCATCAATACAGAGCTGGAGTAGCAGTTCTCAACCGTAAATTATGCTATTTTCATTTTCAGCTAACTGAGAAACAGGAAACACTTGAACAGTCGCTAAGTCATGTTGTACGAGAGTTTGAGAGAGAGAAGCAATCTCTGGTTTTGAAAGCTGATACGGGAGACTGAGGCTGCCAAGGGGGAGCTTGTCAAACTCCAGAGAGTCATTGAGATGAAGACAAGGGAAATGAACAAAGTCAAGAAGCTGGCTAAAAACATTCTGGACCAACGAACAGAGCTGGAGAGGTTCTTCCTGCAAGCCTTGGACCAAGTGAAAGGAGAGATTGCCGCTAATCAGTGAGTCTGACTACATTTTGGATGTAGCTGAATTTATTGTAGCCAGAGATGTTCTAATTCACTTATGATTTGTGTTTCAGCTATTATCTGAGGAATCATCCATTAAATATGTGCTTTTATATTTTCCGCTTATCCAGTTCATTTTAATGAAAAAGGCCATTTTGATTGCCAATGAGGTTGAATTAAACATGGACTGTTGATTTTCATTATGTTACCCAAGTTACCTCAATTATTTAAAATACCAAGCCAGATTTCTACTCTTGGTGATCTTGGGCTTCAAACCTTACTCAATTCCTGGGAATGATTTGGGCCCGGCTTGGATGAATTTAAAGTTACTCATAGGTCTCAAGAGGTGGTTCCATAATGTCTTATTGGGAATTGTTTCACCATAGCCCTGGCAAAAAGTATTTAGATACCCATACAAATTGACCTGGTAATGCATACAGTATTACACTGAAGTTAACTCAAGCTTTATAAGCATTCAGACATATATAATATAGTAAACAGGCCTGCATAGTCAGATACGCACATCAGAGACATGTAGTGAGCTATGGAGTTTACAGTGAAGTTTTGTCATTAAATGATATATTCTGTGACTAACTATGGGTCCAACTCACTATCTTCCTGGCCGGAGTACCCAAGCTGTTCATTCCAGGCCTAGATGATTTGCAAGTAAAATGTGAAATTTCTCATGTCATTTCATGTATTAACAATCGTTATGAATGGATCCTTCTTTGAGTGGCATTTTAGAAGTTGGGAAGTACAATACTGACAAATTTATGGATAACATCTTCTTTTATTTGTGAGTGCGATGTTTTCTTACCTTTCAAGAATCTGTATCAAAATGTCGCACCCACAAATATACAAGCATTATCCATTAATTTTGTCAGTATTGAATGGATCCTTGTATGTTAAGAAAATAATTTTGTTTTACACAAACTACACATAAATAGCCCCACCTAGGTGTTCAAGTCTGTGTATACAAAGTACACTTATTCATTTACTGTCTGTATGAATATCAATGATTTGGTTTCAATTCATCAAATCAGTTCATTTGTAAATGGCTGTATATATTACCTCATTAACATGTTTAGCAGGTTGAAGCTAGATTTGTAATATCATACATCATTAAATGACTTATTCTACAAGCTTTGCAAGCTGGAATCAGGTAAGAGGTTAGCACTGTCTCAGGGCATCAATCTTGGCCCTCACTCTGCATCATTCCGGCAAATAATAAACCCAGATATCATATATATTGTTCTCCAGTGGGGGATTTAAGGTTAGATGCTTATTCCTCTAAAATAAGGAGAGTGTTGTCATGATATTCACTGGCTGATTGTATGTTGATTTACCTTTGCACTATGGATTATTGTTCCTACTATCAACCTCTAGTTTGCCTTGCCCATCAGTTACTTCTTGGTATGCATGACGTTACCGGATATTGCTGACTTTAAGACAATCATATCACTCATTGGTAACCTGTAACATGTCAGTTTTATTAGTTGTGTTAAGCATGTTCAGCATGAAACTTCAAAACTAGCACTGGGGATGTTTCAGAGACCAAAGCACTTCAGTGCATCAGAATGAGTATATATTTTTGCACTATTCTCTCATTTGTTTTGTATTTGGCTATTGTGCACGTGAACACTCTCTTCTCTTACTGTGAAGCCATGTGAAAGTGAAACTGTCTGCATTCAGACACAGCAACATGTTTTATGGCATATATCCCACAGATTCTACACACAAGCAGTGTACACACTCACCCTTGTTGCATTATGTGCACTCTGTAAATATGGAAATAATAACAACCTTACAGAAATAACTGCATTCTATTTCTAATTCTGGATTTTGATTGTTTGGTTTGAAAAGTAATATCTATAACTTGCTTGTAGAAATACCAGTACATCTTGCTGGTTATTTACTATGCAATGTTTTCAAACAATGTTTGGATCAACATAAAACAAAATAATTTAAGTATATCTAAGACGTTAAATGATTGTGCATCAGTTGTACATGTACATAGACTTTAGTTGAACATGTTAACAATTAAACAAACCAAGAGAGATACTGTTTTCAACATGTTATGTTCCAAGGACACATGAAAATTAATAGTTCAATAAAATACTACTTAGTTCTGCCAGGTTTAGGTTTGACAACCATGGTAATTAATTTACATGAATGATAGGAAGATAAGATTGAGAAGTTGGAAAGTATGATGTGTTATTCCGAATTTTGGACCTCGTTTGTTTTCAAAAGAAGATCAGGCATTGAATAGAACAATGAATGCAATTCATCAAGAACGATTCCAGATCAAACACAATCATATTTTGTCATCCATTATTATGTTCGTTCATCATGATCATCATTGGACATTGTTCCATAACAAAACAGGTACAAATCTCGAGGAATATGTAATAAGTAATCTTCCCCGCCTTCAGAGCGCAGTACCGCCGTGATGCACAAGCAGCATATCAACAGCGGATGCTGGTTGCACATGCAGGGAAAGGCAGCTACCCCAAGATCCGAACATTCACAAAGTCGGACACCAGCACCAACAGTGTATTCAAAGATCTGGAGGCAGCAGAGAGATTGTGAGTAGATGGAACTCTAGAGGTTGTCACATAATGGGTTCATTCATCGACTATATGAAACAAATGTCAACACTTGTCCAATTCAGGTTTCATAACAGCAGAATTCACACATGAATGTCATTATTTGTATCATCCACACTTTATGACCATTAAGTTAACGGGTCAAAGCAGAGTGTTGTTTCGATATTGAAAACCTTGTTTAGTGGAGCAAGCCCCAAGTCAAGCTGCATGTCAGTTTCAAGGCAAAGGATGATATTTTCATACAAATCTAGTCCTAACTTCAGGTGTCAGGCGTAGTACACAGATGACATGGCTGACTATCGTCAGCTGACTATATGTCCCAGCTACATCCCTTGGTTTGTCATCTTGAAAATGTAAATGTTTGTGTAACTTTGAGTCTCCCCTGTTGAAACAAGACACCGATATGACAATTAACTACTAATATATATTATTAAACAATGTTTATTGTGGCATAAACACTGCTCACATCTGTTAGTCTCTGACTTTGTATGCGGTTGGCTTGTTATTTGTTATTATGAGGTTTTAATCATTGTGCATTCATTTTGTATTTGCATCTTGCTTATTAAGGAAGGAGATCAAGTAAGTTTGTGTGTGTATATATGCATGGTGTTTAGTCAGTGATCCTCAATTACCCTTTGTATTGTGTCTCCATTCGACTATGGAGGCATGCAGGTTAATTGTGGATGCAAGTCAATATGTAGTGGCTGTAGTTTACTGCTGTCACTGTTTAGTGGTCCATCAGTCTGTGGAAATATCTACCACAGATAAATACTGATATGTTTGGTCCTTACAGCAGTGAAGTATAATATTAGGAGAAAGTAGATAAGGGGAGTGAAACAAATTCTTATTCTCATTTCTACTGAATCAGAACATTTAAAAGTGAACATGTAAATCTGTGCTGTTTTCCTATTGTATGTTATATAATAAGATATAATCTAAGTCTTGTCACCTTTGTTGTTTGGAATTATCTTTATATTACATGACCTACATGAAGTTAAATGACTCCCACAGTGTTCAGTTCAGGTGGTTGGTTTATTTTGTTGTAAGCTAATGGTTTCCTTTTGTTTCACTGAGGTTTTAAAATGTATTCCAGAGATATGATTATCAGGAGGTATTATTAGCCAGTTCATTTCATGTTTAATGTATGTCATATTTGACATTCATTTGTAATAAGGTACAGATTTTAGAACTTTATGATTAGGTCCATCTGGGAATTGAACCCACACTTCCAGAGTGAGGCATCTTGGGTAGTAACCCCTCTGGTGACTCACCTTGGTGGATCAAGTCACAGATCTGTGTTTATTGTCCATGTCATGTATGTTTCAGGTATAATGTGACAGGTAAGGTTGATGTGAGTGACCTCACATGGGAACAGAAGGAAAAAGTTCTCAGATACCTGTTTGCCAAAATGAATGGAGCTGACACCAGAGCTGAGGGCCTGCCAGCAATAAATGGTCCACATATGGAGGGACAGATGAGCCTAACACAAGCTGATGGGTCAGTATTTGCAGACATCATGACATGGAGTCTTTCTGAACTAAACAATCTAACTAACAGGACCATTACACAAAGCGATAAGGTTAGAGTAATTCACATACTGTAACACAGGCTTATGATAATAGTAGACTATGGTTACTTTGTTTAACAGCTCATAGGACAGGAGTCCTACACACATACTTTCTTGTAACTCATAAGAGACTGTTCATAATTTATGGGTGGGTGGGGGTGGTGATGATGATGATTTTTTAGTGAGAAACATGTACAATGTGAATGCCCCCCCCCTAAAATATATGTACAAAATAAGTGAAAACATCACCACCCCGCATGTCATGTACAAAATCAATTTCACATTATCTAATATGAATAACAAGCCCAAAAGATTGAATTTCAACACTGCCGTCTGTTCAGAATATTTAAACATTCAGTGTTTTGAAATTAGAGGTACAATAACAGATGTATACTAGCTCTAATTTCTATATAAAACTGATAGGATGACAATGTGTATCATGTCCATGTGCTTGTGTTCCATGTCTTGTGTTCCATGTTTCCATGTCTTGTGCTACAGAGACCACAAGGATGCTGATCCAGATGATTTGACCTTCCTGACCCAGGCCAAGGTCGACGTCCCTGGCGACATCAACCCTCATCCTCTCATCCCAAACATTGGGGCCCAGTCGGGGATGTTGGTGGAACCACAGGCATCGTAACAAGCCAAACTGTCTCATTGTTCTATATATTTTGTATACCGGTATTGTGAAATTTAGAGCCTCTATTTATTGAGGGCTGTTTGAAGTCAAAAACATATTTTCAGAAACTTTGCATTTTTAAGTCAAAACCACTTATGTCTAATATGATGTCAAATTATTTTTATCCAACGAATATTGAACCCTGTGTAAACACAAACTAGCAAGTTGAATGTCATGAAATTATATGTACCATAAGAATCTGTCTACTGAACAACACAGCGATTCTTGTACTTCTGAGCAATACCATCTACTTGGTGATTTTGAAACATATCCTGGTAACACAGATTTACCCATGTGTTTGTGATATTTTTTTTATCATACTTTTATTTTGTAAATCCATATACTTACAACCAGCATTGTTTCCTCCAACCATACCCTTGCCTTCACTGTACTGTGCTTTATCATGTTATACTTGTCAGCAAATTTCAGGAAATTGATGAGTGTCATGGATTTCTTTAACAGCTGTCTCCAATATCTGAATACAAAGTCAATAACTTTGTCTAACCCAAACTGACACCACTTTACTCAGCTGGTTTCAGAATGGCAATTTTGTGATATGTTTTGTTCACCTGTCAAGGTGAATAATTAGCATGGATTAAAATCTATTTCAGAAACTAGAAAATCTGTTAAACACAAGAAATAGTATGGTATTTTTCAGATATTGAAAGCAAAATACATGACCATTACTTGAACCACCTCCTGCAGGTGTTGACTATGGATGAAGACAGATAGTGTACATGTGACATATACTGACAAGTTTACTTCCCAACAAAACCAAATGTATTATCCACTCCTTCCAAACCAGTTGTTTCCCCTACAGTAGCAGATTAAAAGGGCTGCATCAAGGACCTGATACTGAGTTGAACTGTATTGTGAGTGAGTGAGTGAGTTGTTGCAATCGACAATATTTTGGCCATATTGAGATGGGGGCAAATTATACATCAATTTAAAGCATATAGTGTAAAATAGTTAGTACAATATCACAGATACAGCATAAAACAAACCATACCTTGACATCTGCCTAGTAGCCCAATAGTTATGTTTATCACGGGACTAAATAATTATTTTGATATTTTGCCCTTTCACTAAATGAAAATTTCTGTAGATGGTAATGCCACTTTTAGCAGTAGTTCAGCCCCAAATGGGTTTCGTACATGTACCATGAAAATTCAATGCTCCTACTGGAGGTATTCAGAGCATGCTATGGACTACACAGCATAACGAAGTCAGTAGATCTACTATTTCCTCCTCTACTTGATGCAGCTCATGGTGATGGGCACAGCGTCAGAATGCTCCTCCAAAGCCTTTATGTATTATACCTAATGTATTACTCCAAACCAATGTATTCTAGTGTCTTTCTACACTTTACACTGTTTTATAGAGTCAATATTTTACATACTTACTTTGTACATACCCTAACTCCTGTCTGTGATATTGTGGAACCTTGTATTTATTGAAGTCTCAGAACAACGCAATGACCATCAACTTGCTTGTGAATACTATCAATGGGATGAAATACTAGTGTTTAACTTCTTATAGTATTACTCTTGACTTGACCAGTATTAGGTTGGCAGCCATCTTCTGTGTCGCCTGAGAAACTTCACAGATATGTATTTTGTGAAGTTAATCTCTTTTAAGTATAATTTATAAAGTTCTTAAATAAATTTTGTTTGTACATAATTTGTGAGTATGTCTTGCACAGAAATGTGTTTGAGCTTATAAAGTATTGTGCTGCTAGATGAATAAAGTGTGAAGTCAGTTTACTTTATTGTCAATAAATGTCTCAGCCAGGATCATATCAAAGACATCCAGATTTGATCACATCACCGGTGTTGGTGTATTTGCACTGGTTCCCAGTTGAAGCAAGGATTCAGTTTAAGACTCTGTGCCTGGTGTACAAGTCACACCATAGTCAAGCTCCATCATACCTGCCCAGTCTGCTCCAACACAACAAACCATCCAGATCACTTAGCTCACAAACGCAGTGTCATCTTACAGTTTCAGTCAGCAAAATTGTGGAATGAACTGCCCTCTAACTTGTGATATGCCCCATCATTTGATTCATTCAGAACTCACCTGCTGACCATCTTTTCAGACTATCTTATGATCTTTAATTTGTATGCTTAGAGAGCATGTACTCGGTGTATGGAATTTAGCGCTATAAAAGTGCACATCATCATCATCATCATCAATATTCACTGGATGTAGAAGCTATGTATGAGCAAATGAATTGTCCTTTAGTTATGTCACTGTTTGATCCACACTGATGTCAGTCATAGATGTTAACAACTTGGTTATACTTAAGGGGAGTATGATAATGAGCAGGCTGAATCTCAGACTCAAACCGGCAATCAGTGGATTATGGTATACTGAGAGATGTATTGAAGCACACTTGGCTCATTACAATAGCAGACTAGGACCACTTCAGGTGCCTACATCAGATGTGACAAGGAATACAAAGAAGCCACATAGCCTGTTGTTCTGATGCAACAACATTGTCAAGGAGTTCTAGATTGCCAGACTCTAACCTGATAGAACAGCTATGGAACAACAGCATCATCCTTACATTGCAACAGCTTGTAGATACACTATGGTCCCAGGCTAACATCCCAAAAGTGTGATCCCTATACTCTCATGTCATTCCTTTGCCAGACCGAACCTGATATGAAGATGAACACACAAGATAGTGAGTTCTCATGATGTTGACCTATGCCATTTTTGATGTTATGTCATCATTAGACACATGCCCAATGTTGTACTGTTGTCCACACCCCAAAACTGGTTTTGTGGTTTCAGAAGAATGTGGTAAATCTTGGCCTCTGTGTAAGGCACTTTAGTGGATCCTCATGTCTTTATCCATTTGGATCATGCTGAGATTTATGAGCGCTACACAATTTCCTGACAGCAGTTTATGAAAATCAAAATCAGTGACACTACTATTGGGATATAATTCAAAAAACTGTTGACAGTCTTGTGTTTATTGTTCTGCTGCTACATCTTTCAACTAGCCAAGTGCAGCACAAGACAAACTCACTTTTTCTGTGAAAATGGAGAAATTGTCCAAATGATCCAATGAAGTTAAAATGAAAATCAACAGAGAGGGTGTGAACACTTTAGATCACACCCTGAAAGGATAAATACCTTGAGCTACATTGTCATGCATCAGAAACAGTGAGATGCAATGACACAAAAGACCCAACAAAATCAAATATGAAAACATTGTTTATGCATTGAAAATAGCTTTTGGTTACAAATATATCATTTACATAGATAAAATTTCATGAGCGATTAAGTCCTTCTATAAACATTATTTCATCACCATAAATCAATATACAGTGTTCAAATTGTCAACAGATCCTGTTTCTAAAGTATATTGTGATAATGTCTCTTCAAGCCTATTTTATTTCAAGTTACACGTTCACAGAATTCTAGAATGAATCACTTTAAGGACAGACCAATAGAAATTGTCTGTTTTATGGATGGCCTGATACTATTATTATATTGACTGAAACTGAACCATTTCTACTTAAAAATGTCATCTTACCATCTTTTCATTTTGCCTCAGTCTCTTGCCTCATTGAACAAGAAAGTCCATAAAATGAAACATATCAACTGGTCTGGCCTGACCTGAGATACAAGTCACTGTCAGTATGTATATGTATAACAAATACGGGTCAAACACTTTTCAGAACATATGTTATATTTGGGATTACACTTTTCAGAACTCTTTGGGAAAATGCAATAGTTCTGTTGATTTGTTTCAGAAAATATCACAGAACAAAGATATCAGATAAACTAAAAATATGAAAACATATTTGAACCATATTATTTTTCAGGATAATGTATTCTAAACACCCTTCTATCAATCCAAAACCAAACCATCGGATCCAGTTGCATGTACAGCCATCATGTCTGTGATGAACAGTGTAACTGAACCCCAAACTGACCAGTACACACCCAGGTATCAGGATGCTCGAGAAATCAGCAGCAAAAGAAAAGTGAAACAATGTTGACTGATTTCGATAAATGGATTCCTACCGACTACATCTGTGACGTTCAGAGCATGCAAAGAAACACATCACGACACAGGTATAGCTATTACAGATATATGTTATTGTGTTTGTTGCTAAAAGGCTAAAGGGGTGGTTGTTGTTAAAGCAAACAAACCGTCCAAATGTTGACAGAATCCATTCAAATATATATCCTTTCTGTGGCGCTGTATTCTGTAAAAAACATCAGTAAGACACAGAAGCAAATGCGCACTGTGATGGAAATGTTTCAGTGGTGCGCGCTTATAAGGTATACTTACAGACTGGTGTAGAAGTTGGTCGGCAGTGCTTACTGGAAACACTGCAGAATTGGTCAACTACTATTTTCCATTCATTAATTCTTATGCATCAACCTTGGTCCATCAGCAAGTAGTTGATTGCCTTGCTGACGGCTTGCATGCAGGGTGTGTTCTCAGTAACTTAATTTACTTCCCATTATGATGCAGTAACTTGTCAAGAGATTCTTTCACATAAATAAACATCACTACCTGTTTAAAATAACATCATAAAAATAACAGGTAAAAATTGAAAATGAGTATATTCAAACAATATTTTCAGGTGTTTGTGTGGATAGGTATCACAGAACTGAATCAGGTTCAGATTCCAACACTATGCAGGGAATATTACCGGTATGTACTTGGTAGTAAGCTTCACAATGTCTACAACAGTGGGACTTATGTTTACAAGGTATCTGGCTCATTGTGTTAATGTCATCTTAGCTCAAGCTACCATGACAGTTAGAAAACTGCTGGGACTTTAAACAACATACGGTCACTCACCGTGGTGTCTTGAGATGTTCAAGTTTATTTACAGTATTGAAAAATAATTCTCACAGATATCCATTTTGTTTTCTGAAATTTAAAAAGACCAAACCAAAGCTGACTTAGATTACTGAAATGGCGTTCATTATAAATGGGTAGTAGAACCAATGAGTAAACAGTAATAGCATGAATGGTCACACAATGATCATGGCTACAACATATCACAGAATGATCTTGTCAATCCTGATTTCACTGCACAACATGATGGCAGGCGCGTAGCAAGCCAAATGTTTCGTATAAGCCCGGTAGGTTGCAAAGCTTTATATTTAGATAGTATTAAGGGCTTGCCCAACCTTTTTAGCAACAATCATGTGTAAGCCCGGCCTTTTTTATAATGGTAGCTACGCGACTGGATGGCAATCAATGTTCAATCTTCTCAATCCTATCAGTTCGCACAAAACAATTTAGACAAGAAAAAATTGTGTCCAGGGACACGGATGCCCCCGCTGACATTCATAAGACATATAAAGATCAATAATTGACCAAAATTCACGAACAAGTTCAATAAACATCTATGCAACTATGACATGCACACCTTTCGAGTCTCAATGAAACACATGTATAAGCTTAATCAATTCTGTTGAGCAGTTTTTGTGGAGAAGTGGATAGACTTAATCCCCTATTTCACTATCATCATGGAGAAATTCAGCAAAATGTACCTAAGTTCAAATGTCTCTAAACTTACAAAAAAACAATAAAATAAAAAAACAAAATATGAGATGCACACCATTAGAGTCCCAAGAACACCCATGTATAAGTTCATTGAATTCCACAGAGCGGTTACGGTGGAGAAGTGGATAGAATACATTCCCTGTTTCGTACGGACAGACGGACACCGAGGGTAACCCTATATGCCCCTGCCATATATGGCGGGGGCATAAAAAAGAAAGAATACAGTCAAATCAGTAATTTCCCCCCATGCTTTGTATGCTGATGTGAGGTAAGGGACCGTTCATAATTTATGGCTAGGGGGGTGATGATTTTAAGGGGGGTCACCCATTTTGTTCTGGGGGGTCATCAATTTTGTACGTGTACTGGGGGGGTGGGGTTTTCCATCAATTTTGTACATAAAAACATTTAAAATTAGGCTTACAAAACATGGGAGGGGGAGTCATTGATTTTGTACATGACATGCTGGGGGGGTGAATTACTTTGGGGTGTGTGTGTGTGTGTGAGTCACATTGTACATGCTTCTCCATAAAAATCATCATCAACCTCCCTAGCCATAAATTATGAACGGTCCCCAAGTATCAAGTGTATTACATCTCCATTCGTACAGGTGTATCCAGGAACACCATGGTTAACCATGGGTCCACCACTGTCATTCACCATATCAACTAGAAACACACAGATTTAATGTCATATAGACTGTGTATTGAAGGGTGAGACCATGCTGGCATTTTACACACTGAAAACCAGCGATAGATAAAATATCCTTTCCAGCAACAGATTTAATCAAAGACATTCATGAGGAGTCAAACTGTAGGAACAATCTTGTATATCTCTTATAAATGTTTCATGCCTCCCGCATGCTGCTTGTCTCATGTCCATTATTGTCACACACACTGACACACACACAGACATATTTCCCAGAACAACACTGTTTATTCTTTTATAAAGTTACAGAAAGTTTAACTGAATACTCTTTTTCACACTGTTCTCCCATGGGCTTATTGACTATGAGAAATAGCAATCATTGGACATAATCTGCATGGACAAAAGGCAAATTTCATTAATATATCATTATGACAAATACAAACTAGCCAACAGTGTTTGAAATAGAGGAGTCCAGTGTCCATGAGATCTGTGCCTGTAGTATTTGATTCTTGTGCTCCCAAACTCACTGGCAACATGTATCACAGAACTGTGACAATAAACTTTCACGTTTGACCTTAAACACGGGTTATCTCTTCCTTTGTGTCAACAAGTGCCAACATAATGATGACAGATGTCAATCATTTTCATGCCACCTTCAACTTGCATTTTATTTACCTGGTTAAAAAACACCAGTACTGGATTCTTGACATCAAGGAATGATATCATTCAAATTTGAGCCTAATATATTTTCCATAATGACCAATGGACTTGATGATGCTTACTATAGAATATTACAGCTACCTATAAACTGATCAGTCACTTGTAAGTAGAAACTGAGCAAGGTAATGAAGAGAAAATCCACCTGTATATCTCATGGTGACATGTCATGGCTTTATATTACAAGAGATGTATGTAGTTCTTGTGTGGGCAACGTTGTTACTGACTGAGTTTGGTTTTACGCCGCTTTTAGCAATATTCCAGCAACATCACGGCGGGGGACACCAGAAATGGGCTTCACACATTGTACCAATGTGGGGATTCGAACCCGGGTCTTCGGCGTGACGAGCCAACGCTTTAACCGCTAGGCTACCCCACCGCCCCTCCCAACCTCAGAGTTACTTAGTACTTGACATACAAAGTTGCAACGTTGTTAACTTTGTATGTCAAGTACTAAGTAACTCTGAGGTTGAACAGTCACACAAATGAAAGATGATGAAGGAGAGTGAAAATCATGTCAACAGAACAAATGGCTTGTCAGAAAACCACACAATGGGCTTATAATGGTGTACATGAAGCCAATATATTTCTTCCATGAAAAACTCATTGCACAAAATTGATAAAATGACCATATGTACATAATAACAAATATACAAAATAAAATATTCTTCATATTTAAATGAAATCTGTTTGGAACAGTTGGGGCGCATACAGCTACTCAACAACAAATCTCCACAGCGCCACTGAGTATAACCAACACTTATACACTGCAAAGTGAATAAAAAAGTTCTGAAGAAAGCCTGAAGAAAGTCATCACCCATGCTGATAAAAGCAATCTGATCCTGAGTCATGTGCTTCTCAATACTGACAAGTGAGAAACAGGAACATGATCCTGAGTCATGTGCTTCTCAATACTGACAAGTGAGAAACAGGAACATGATCCTGAGTCATGTGCTTCTCAATACTGACAAGTGAGAAACAGGAACATGATCCTGAGTCATGTGCTTCTCAATACTGACAAGTGAGAAACAGGACCATGATCCTGAGTCATGTGCTTCTCAATACTGACAAGTGAGACACAGGACCATGCTAAGTTACTCCTGTGTTTTAGTAGCATATTCTCCAAAGAGATTAAACACTGAGACTGCAAGCCTGAGTATAGTGTCTGATCACAATAACTTAATGAGTAAGACAGATAATCCGGATCCAAGTGCTAATCCTAGAGTCAGCATCAGTGACATCAACACTCCTGCTCCCTCGGCTTGCCCCAGTGGCACACGCCTGAAACAGAACATGAACAGTGTGGACAGGAAGCTGGGAAATGGGGCAGCTGACTTGACTACATCTTATATCCTTGTTTCCTTACTAGACCTCCATCTTTACCTGCCATGGCTGGGTTCAGGGCAAGTAGATGCCATTTAAGACAACAATATGTTGATAACAAGATACTACCTCCACCAAGAATATTGGACTACAACTGCAAACATTAGGGGTTTCCAAGACTATACATAAAGTCCTGAACACAACAAATACTCCATAGATCAACTGGGCCTAGATTTTCGATGCTCTCTTAGCGCTCAGATAGTCGTAAGTTAATGTTAATGTATGGTACCTACGACTATCTTAGCGCTAAGACAGCTTCGAAAATCTAGGCCCAGGATGATAATTGAGTGGGTGGGATGAGTAAATTAATGAGTGACTTAGTTTTACGTCACTCTGAGCAATATTCCAGCACCAGAAATGGGAGTAGGTGACTGGAAGTTTAGTCCTGATATCCCAGTATGGAAGAAAAATTCCAAACTGATGCAAGTTGTAGACATTTAACACTTTGGTGAATTTTATGGGCCCATGTATAATGTCATGCACTCAGAATGATTGAAACTATTAACTGACTTACTGTGGAGCATACATCATGTTGAGTGTTCCGAAGTAGCCATTGGTGAGACCAAGTATGATTATCAAGGCAATAGGGAATGCATCATTGTGGAACCACACTGGAAGGCTTCGTGGTCGAGCATCACAAAACATCAACAGGGGCACCAGGATGACCCGAAACACACACAGCATCAGCAGCACATTCTGATGCCGGTAGCTTGGCTGCAACAGAGGAATACATCCAGAATACATTATCACCCTCCCACTAATGAGGCTATCACATTTGTTTGTTTGTCTCACGTTTTATGAGCTGTTCCACCAGCTGTTTGTCACCCCTCTGTATGAAGCGTGAAAATAGAGCAATATTACATGACAGTTACTGAAACAACTTTTTCTGTGATCGATCATAAAACATCAGATTTCAAATCCTGTTGGGTACAGAGATTTCAGGACCACTTGTCTTATTTATGTTTTGAGCATTTATCCCTATTTCGAGTTATTTAATCATTCATCATTCTCACTTGACTTGTAGGTCCATCCCAGACTATTCACTGATACATCAATACTGACCTCTCATGCCAGTTAGGCTAATTACTGGACAAGCTCAGTCACATATAAATGTGGACCTGTCACAGTGTACAGTCCATAACATGGCACTGCAGCACTGCAACTGTGCTTTCAGTCATGCAAGAATATCACACAGACATGTACCAGTTTGGTGCATGGTTTCTCATATGAAGGATGTGAAATACATGGTACTATAACCAGGGGCAAACAGGCTACCCTGCACTTGAAACTGAATTCTTTATGCTAAAAACAGTGGTCATCATGCTTTGGCACCCTCGGTTTCTTTGGACTCTGCAGTTTTGTAAACCTCATTCCATTACTGTGGTTTCTCGTAATGCCAAAACATCCACCCGTGATTTCCATTTGCAAATTCTATGGGCTATGCTACTTGGCCTAAAGTGCCAAATAGAAAGTGTGTTACAGACCAGCCTCAGTGGTGAGCTGCCAATACAGCTGCCAGGACCACTGAACATGATCGTATAGGATGATTTGTAAATATTTCTGAAAAAGCATCACCAAGTAGTTTGTGGAGCCATATCTTTATATCACTGGTGGGTCCAAATGGCCATTTGGTTTTGTCTACTTGAATGAATACCACTGTCCCAGAATGCCAGTTGGGCTAACTCATCAGATAAATTCATAGAATACACTCACACTGACCACTGACACATGACAATTAACCTGTCATGCCAGAAAGGCTAAATAAGAGTTGCTTGCTTAACTGCAAAAGAAATACAAGTTGCATATAAATATGTAATTTTTGGAGTAAAATTGATATTTTATACTTATCCTGACTCATGCTCTTTTTGCTTGTCTTCTTCTTCTTGCGAACATAGTGGAACACTTGTATCTCCCTAATTGAAGCTCCCTTCAATTTAAAATCACTAATTAGTATTCACCACGAGTTACCTCCTTTCCACAAGCTCGGGAACGAGGGCGCCACCTCTACCCATGTGCCTCACTCTCTCCTCATATACTGAGCCCAACATTTGAATTTACAGGGAAATCCAAAGTGTTATTTGGGGAGGATGGGAGGGCTGACCTCATGAGTCAGGATAAGTATAAAATATCAATTTTACTCTAAAATTACATATTTTTCCTTATCCTGACTCATGCTCTTTTGCTTGTAGCATCCTCACTTGAACGGAGGTGGGAATATCTAATACTTTGGATTTTTAATAATTAGTGATTTGAACTGTGATGATTGTAATAACCCTATGGGAACTTCATAAAGGCACTGAACTGATGAATTCCTGCTGCTAACTTATCAGCTGCCATATAAAAGGTTATTACCATGTACTTATTATGATAAAGTATATATAACATTAATACAATGCTTAAGACTAATAGACTTAAGCTTGTTAATATGCTAGTATAAACTCCTTAGAGTTTGTTAGCTAAAATACTTTAAGATATAACATAGTACTAAGCTTAAGATATGATTAAACTTAAGCTAATTATATAATAGCAAACTCTTTAGAGTTTGTTAGTTAATATACTTATATGATATAGATATAATGCTGAGCTTAAGATATGAATAAGCTTTAGCTACATATATAATAGCAAAACTCTGTAGAGTTTGTTAGCTAATATATTTTTATAATATGAGTATAGTACTGTGCTTAAGCTATAATTAACTTAAGCTACATATATAATAGCCAAACTCTGTAGAGTTTGTTAGCTAATATATTTTATAATATGAGTATAGTACTGTGCTTAAGCTATAATTAACTTAAGCTACATATATAATAGCCAAACTCTGTAGAGTTTGTTAGCTAATATATATTTTATAATATTAGTATAGTACTGAGCTTAAGATATAATTAACTTAAGCTACATATATATAGCAAAACTCTGTAGGGTTTTGTTAGCTAATATATTTTTACAATATGAGTATAGTAGTGTGCTTAAGATATAATTAACTTAAGCTACATATATAATAGCAAAACTCCGTAGAGTTTGTTAGCTAATATATTTTACAATATGAGTATAGTAGTGTGCTTAAGATATAATGAACTTAAGCTACATATATAATAGCAAAACTCCGTAGAGTTTGTTAGCTAATATATTTTACAATATGAGTATAGTATTGTGCTTAAGATATTATTAACTTAAGCTACATATATAATAGCCAAAAAACTCTGTAGAGTTTATTAGCTAATATGTTTATAGTGTAACCATAGTACTAAGCTTAAGATAAGATTAGACTTAAGCTAAATGTATATAGCAAAATAAACTCCTTAGAGTTTATTAACTAATATACTTTTTATGTTAAAAACATAGTACTGAGCTTACGTTATGATGAAACTTAAGCTATATATATATAATAACAAAACTCCGTTCGGGTTTTGTTAGCTAATACCTTTATAATGTAAACATACTGCTTAAGATATGATGAAAACTTAAGCTAATTGTATAATAGTGAAAACAACCCTTTAGAGTTTGTTAGCTATGATATAAACCTAGTATTGAGCTTATGAAGGAAAACTTAAGCTACATATATAATAGCAAGAACTCCGTAGAGTTTGTTAGCTAATACATGTTATAATGTAACCATAAAGCTTAAAATATGATGAAACTTAAGCTTAAATATATAATAGCAAAACCCTCTTTTAGAGTTTTGATAGCTAATATACCTATATGATATAAACATAGTACTGCGCTTAAGATATGAATAAGCTTAAGTTACATATATAATAGCTAAAACTCTGTAGAGTTTGTTAGCTAATACATGTTATAATATAACCATATTGCTTAGAAATATGATGATACTTAAGCCAAATAGCAAAAAACTCTTTTCGAGTTTGTTAGCTAATCTACTTATATGATATAAACATAGTACTAAGCTTAAGATATGAATAAGCTTAAGCTACCTATATAATAGCAAAACTCCTTAGAGTTTGTTAGCCAATATATTTTAATAATATGAGTATAGTACTATGCTTAAGGTATAATTAGCTTAAGTTACCTATATAATAGTAAAACTCCGTAGAGTTTGTTAGCTTAATTAACTTAAGCTATGTATAAAATAGCCAAAACTCTGTAGAGTTTGTTAGCTAATGCATTTATCATGTAACCATAGTATTACTCTTAAGATATGAATAACTTAAGGTAAATATATATAATAACAAACTCTGTAGAGTTGTTAACTTATATATTGTATGATGTAATAATCATAGTACTGTGATGATAAAAGGAACTTAAGTAAATTATATATAGCATGAAGCTATTTAGTATTGTTATAAGATAAGTAAAAATCTGTTAGATTGACTTATCTTCTCCGAGAACTGTCAGCTGTTGTGCGAGGACCATGGGATCAGATTGGTGTATACCTGAGACGTCCTCGGTGGTGATATCTCTCAGATAATGGTTTGGAACCACCATATCGATTTCCAGAAATAAACCCTCCATTATTTCAATCACATTTGTGTAGAACAATTGTAGAAGTTAAGCTATAATATCATGAGTATTAAGCTCATGGAGGGTCGGAATAGGTCCATCCATATGCACGTAGTATGACAGTTCTGATCCAAATGGAGATATAATACATGAGACTTCACTCTGCGTAAGTTGATGATAGAGGAAATAATCTGTTGCATTTTTCCTCCTGTTTGGTTTGGTGGAGATAAATTTACAGTGCTCTTGCTGGCCATCTTGATAGAATCATCGTATCATGGGGTCCAAGTATGTCATCCAGGCGTGTTCATAAACCTCACTTGTGAGGTGTTGGAGCACTATATTCATATCCCCAGGTTGGTGAAATTTCCGTTTATTCTCCAAACAGAAGTTTAGTAGGTTTACTAACCATCTAGTTGTGTTAGTCGCTTGATGAAATTCAGCTGTAGTCTGAAACGCTGTGGATTTAGATCCACTTGTATCTTTCGTCTAGGTAATTAAGCTCGCGAAGTCCTTGGCGATGTAGGTGCACAACCAGGTGTGTCTGTCCTCGTTGAACTTTATGTAAAATCGCCTGACTGCCGATCCCTCGTCTTAACTTGACAGGGGAGGTCTCTAACTGAAGAAAGGCAGTCTAATCATGAATGTTCAGGTTAACTGGACTGTAATGAGGCTTGCTCGTTCACTGATATATAGTTGTCACTTGTGACGTAAGTCTTGAACTGTGAATAGAGATCGACCTCTGTGTAGGTCGTTGTCCCTCATGGTCCAATCAGAACAAGGCATTTTGATTCTGTATAATACCCGCTGTGATGTCACCGGTGTAGCGGGAAAAACCCACCTTGAATAAATTCTTGTCGCCGTTGATATTAGCATAAACGTCGGTCTTCACCGTAGCTTCGAAGTTATCCGAAAGTGACCACGCGTGTTTGAGGGTTAATGGTAACATGGAAACCTCCGGTAAAAATATCTCGCTCTGTAATTTTATGCTGGGTAGGTTATTTTCCTGGTTGTCGTGAAAGTAATTTCAGTTTTGAATATAATTCCGACTTCCTTATATATAAGGGTATAAACAACTTGCAAGTTGTGAGCTTGTAGACTGTATACATGAATGTATCGTCATAATTGTAGAATTAACGTTGAACTTGTTGTACATATTTCTTCTCAGAAACTTTGACGATTAAGAGTTAACTCGCTGTAACAAGGCTGCTGTTCAATTTCGATATTGAATTGTCTGCAGATATGCGTAATGGTCACGCATGTAGATAATCGTATCGTCGTCCGGGATTGTATATTAGCAATTTATACGGAATAGTTGATTTCTGTGAAGATCTATGAAATGTCGTTGACTAATAATACAGCGGCGTTCTGTGTTGTAAATAGCCTGAGCAATTATCTTCGCGTAGGCTTATAGGCGGCATCTGGCATACAGTTGATAATCAACTTATGCGGCGCCTTGAACGGACTGCCGAGTAGCTATATATGGCGAAGTGGCTAGTATATGGAAACCTTGGAGGAGACTTCCTCGGTGAACGCCGGAGACTTCGCTAAGTTCTCGGCATCCCTTCTAGATCTTCTGGGTGAAGTAGACTTGGAGCCACTTAGCCTTCGCGACCATCGCGAAGGTGTCGAAATCAAAGCCCGATTAGTATATATATATATATATAAATATATATATGAGCTTTGCTTCGTGAACAGCCTCTGTGTTTAACAGGATGTGGGATCGTGGCGCTTGCCTAAATAGGGCCGCATGGATCATCTTATCATATTCAGAAGTCGTGTTACGAAGTCTGGTGATAAGTGTCTAATTGATCGTTCTAGATCTATTTAGGCCAGCGAACATACGTCCTCGTCATGGATTCAACAGAACCAATATACGATTGTAGTTCTTATACTTGATATCGATGATCAACTTGTCTATGGGTTGATCTTCTCGAGACTTGTGAGGGGAACGTTGATAGTTTCTCGCTGGCTCTTGTATAGTCCCTCGATGTCCTTCTAGATGATGATGATCTGGATTCAGGTGTCCTTCAAGCATGCCTTCGAAGCTTCCTCTGCGTCCGGTCGGGGAACGACGATATGACCTTCGCGAAGGCTTCCGTGATGTCTGATGGTCCGAGTCCACATCTAGGGATGAAACCGCATAAGGTGATGATCTATCCTGCCTTCGCGAAGTCCTTCGCGAAGGCTGTACATCTAGGTTCTTTCCGCCTTCGAAGGCTGTACATCTAGGTCCTTTCGCCTTCGCGAAGGCCTTCGCGAAGCTGTACATCTAGGTCCTTCCGTCAAAGGTGGTCCGTGACTTCGCTTCGCGAAGGTGACATCGTCCTGGCTGCTACGCTGGACGGGGGTGCCTCTGGGGTGCTGTTCACGTTGGAGCCTTCGAAGGCTTCGGACCCTGCTACCGCAGATATTGGTCCTCCATGATGTTCATAATTTGTCGCATCATGTCTTCTGGGATGGTCTGCGGCGAAGGTCGCCGGTGCTTTATCTGCGGTGTTAATGGAGGGGTCCACCGAAAATCGTCCGACATCAGTGTAGAGGCATCAGGCTGCATGGTGATCTCTGCTGATGTTGTTGTAGCTGTCCCCGTCGTTTTTTGTGGCGACGTCGGGGATGATGATCAGCTGATCATCGTAGAGGTCCAGGTCATCGGCTGGAACAATCTCGGTTGAGAAAGTCCTAGTAGACTTCGCTGATTTTCCCTCAGAGGTCGACGCTGCCCTGGGTGTCGCGGCGTCTCATGCGTTGAGTGTTGGTAATGATGGGACCCTCAGGACGATCATCGCATATCTGCGTTGGTACATCAGGCTGCATGCTGATCTGTGCCGACATCGGTCAATCTTGATGTACATCCGGTATGATGACCGGCTGATCATCATACAGGCCCAAAACTGCGATGGGAACGGTCTCGGTTGTTGAGATGTAGTAGAAAAACCCTCTAGTCTTCTGCTGCGCGACGATGAGATGTCTGGGGAAGCAGGATGCTTCTTGGAGATGGCGGACTACGCCCCACACCTCTCCACCACTCTAGCGAACACCACACGGGAGGGGAGTCGGCCAACAGCAGTAGACTGGCGAGGGTTCCGTGTATCAGTCATACTAGACTCTGCATACGCTGACCTATCTGCTGTGCGTGCCAAACGCAAAGTAAATATTAATAAAAGGTAGAATTGGATAAATTAGTACCGCAACTGCAATGTGAATATAATAAACATGGCGCGTACATCATATTAAAGGCGGATCAGCAGCAGCATAAAAACGTAATCTGCAATAGTACAGAATTTTCATCAACGTAATCCACTGAAACAAACACGGCGTCCCGTGACTAAACTGTAGAAAAACGACTAAATATCAATATATAATCGTTGAAGGATACTAGCTAAACCTCTATAGATGTCTATACGAGGTAACTAACTAAATATAATTCAAAGGATATAGTGTGTCGGGAGACACAGGCGCTCTCACGTCCAGCTCACTGGGCGAAGAAGGAGAGAGTGAGGCACATGGGTAGAGGTGGCGCCCTCGTTCCCGCGCTTGTGGAAAGGAGGTAACTCGTGGTGAATACTAATTAGTGATTTTAAATTGAAGGGAGCTTCAATTAGGGAGATACAAGTGTTCCACTATGTTCGCAAGAAGAAGAAGACAAGCAAAAAGAGCATGAGTCAGGATAAGGAAAAATATGTATATGTCAAGAAATGAAAACAGAAAACATTTGACAACAAATGAGTGTTCTCATTTTTATGGAAAAATCCACACAAAAACAGACAATGCCTTCTCACTGAGGTGACATCTCTGGAAACTGACAAGTGAAGCCTCTCCACACCTCCTCCTGAGTGGATAGGCTGTATCCATACTTGAAAGGCTGAACCTTGCCTCATGTGAGAAGACATCTTGTTACCACTGAGGACGTTGCCAATGCAGGTGCATTTGGGCCTACCCTAGATGATGTTGGTGGTGACAGTATGAGCCTGAGACATCTGACAAACTGTATCGGCTGACACATGATGATGTGCACCTTTAATGTATTGGTCATAGGTGTCGGTCAAGATGTGTCCCCCAGATGTAATGATCCTGTACAGGAGCAGTGATCCTTGGCCATCTAGAATCTAGACCTGGTCCTGCACGCTGCTTGTCTGTCGATTCCTTGTGACTGACAACTGTCATCTAAAATGTCTTGCCATTGCTGCTGATGTTTATCCAGCTGGTAGCATCCCAATGGCAATGCCTCTCTGTAGTTGAGCTTAATCAAACCATGTTTCCTATCCTTTTATGAATTACCAGGTGTTTTTCAATATGGTGACTTATGAGAGAAAGCTAAGGGGCAAATTGTGTTCATGTTTGTACACATTTCTTTTCAGAAAATATTCTGTTATGCATTTCACAATGAAAGATTTGATTTGCATTTCTTTGTGGTAAAGTATACTAAGATGTCTATGTTCCAGCACATATACTTGATATACATGATGTAAAACTTCCCCAAATAATCCAATGGATGACATAAATAATGCAATGATGAATCTAGATTGTGTAATCACTATCTGGTTTTAATGAGCATTTCTGTAGATTCAGTATTGTCACAACCAACCTTTTGTATCCATCCTGAGATTGGCCGACCAATCCAGTCACCAAGGTTGAAAAAGAGATAGCAAATCACCGGAATGAAGTATTTATCTGAAAACAACAAGTGAAGTGTCTTGTTTAGTCTTATTGTTATAGAAGATGTAATCTTTGGATGATCTTCACTTAATTCAAGACACATAGCTGAAGCAGTCTATATCTGGGTAGGCTGTATTTGAACGTTGTAACCATGGTCATTCAACATCAAATATTGCTTCTTCCCTTGTTGTTGGCTGAATCAAGAAGGTCAAGGATGATATTTTACAGGTAATACATCCTTGTAAATGTCAGTTGTTGTCAAGTGAGTGAGTTTAGTTTTACGCCGCACTCAGCAATATTCCAGCTATATGGTGGCGGACTGTAAATAATTGAGTCTGGACCAGACAATCCAGGGATCAACAGCATGAAACAGCAATTGGGATACAATGATGTGTCAAACCAGTCAGCGAGTTCCGTTAGTCGCCTCTTACAACAAGCATGGGTTACTGAAGATCAATTCTAACCCGGACCTTCACGGGAAGTTGTTGTCAAGCTTAGTGCATCATATCACAACTATCACATTATATAATGTATCACCAAAAACGCCATGGCATAATAGACTTGATGTGCCCTGATTATCATCCTTATAAACTTAGCAATGACCCAGTCCACCAGTCCATTTACACCTTGGTGATTGGAGATGTTAAAAGGTGTTTTCACATTTACTCCTTGACGATCAGAGTTGCTGAAGGTGTTTTTTTGTCTTGGTATAGGGCAGAGCCATAGCCCAACATTTTATAACTTAACCTGTCCCTTAAGCAATAAAGCATGCAAGGAATGTATGCCCTACCTGACCAGGGATCCCCTTGTTGATAGTTTGCTGACCGTATCGTTGAACAAACAGCTGGAAACACTGACAGTGTTACTGTAAACACCACACATACGCCAATGCCTTGACGCCAAATCTGAAAGAAATATATACACCAGTACAGCATTACATCATGTAAGAGAGGCTACGATAAAGCACCTCCCTGTTGGGAGTCAAGAGTCATTTAATGCCTCAGTCAGCCATTTTCCTGCAATATCATGTGTCGGCCTGTACATAATAGAGTCTAGAAAAGGCAAGTGAAATCATGGGAACAAACCTTGTGGTACAACATCCGCCAATCTCCTGCCTCGACAGATGAGATCACTGAGCGCATGCAGTGTCTCCATCTTGAAGGACAGTACCTCTATCAACTTGTTCAGCCCTCAGATGGAGAATGGGTCAGGCCCCGATTTCTCGAAACAAACTTAAGTCTGAGTTTTTACTCAAATTTGAGAAAAGGCAGGGAAATGCATTTCCCAGAATGAACTGAAATCGATATTAAACTCAAACATAGTAGACAATTTGAGTTTGGTAGACAGATTACTTAAGTTGTTTGGGCTTTTTTATTTTAAAAAATGCAGTTGAGTTTGTTTCGAGAAATCGGGGCCTGAACATTCCATTCTGTATGGTAACGAGGAAATCAGTGGAGTCGAACCTCACATTTTCCTGACCTTTTGGAATCATCTTGATGGCTGCCTTGCCCAGTCGAGGCTGGATCTCGGCACGGAGTATTTGCGCCTTCTCTCGGGACTGGTGTTTGCTGCACTGTATTTGCGGCAGAATACAGTGAACCCCTGCAGTTGGCAACATGTCATTTGCCGATGCCAGGGCACCTGAGGGATTAAAGAGAAGCTCAACAGACTTCCGTTTTCCTCGAAACAGGGTGCCGTAGGCCCATAACCGCACTCATCATTTGGCTGGCACAGCTACAAATACTGTCCCTAGCCAGATAAGAGTGGACCTCCGTCACCTGCCGCGCCAGAGTAACCAATGAAGAATCACTGGCGCTTTTACCCCTTTCCACCAGCTCCCTCTGCAGAGCAGAGAGATGCGCCGAGTGGAGCATACAGTATTGAGCTGTTAAGTGGGAAGGACGGCATACTGATGGAAGAATGCAAGGCCGTGTCCCGGACACATGGCTGGAAACAAAGACTTTCCCCCGGGAGGCAGAACTCCAACGGTACGGGCCCTCCTCATGGACAACACTTGAGGCAACACAGCCGCGATTCTATCTCACACTTGCCTCAGGGACAAACTGAATCAATGTAAGGTTCAAAGTAGCGAAAAGACTGTTCGACTGTTCGAGCACAAATCCCGGGTTCCGATGCACGTGGGAGTAGCCTGATAAATCAGGGTTCCCCATGCACTCAAATAGACCTCGGAGCGTCGAGGTGACCGGTAGCTCAGTCACACTTAACAGCCTCTTGGCAAAGGCGTCGATAGACATCAGGTTGAGACCTGAACTACAGGCGCCGGGAATCTGCCCCTCTCTGAGCCCGGACACCTAGTCTGAGATCAGAGTGCGCCCCGACGATCTCTGCTGCTGCTATAAGAAATCAATCATTAGTGGTGCAGCAACAATGTTTGTGGGGGAGGTGTAGGTGGAGGAAGAAAAAAGAATTTCCTTAGAAACCTATAACCATTTTACCTCTATAGAGGTTGTGGCTTACTCATTTTGGACAGGGGTCCTGACATCAAATATCATCCCCTGCCTGAAGCAGATTAGTGAAAAACATAAAATCTGCATGCCTGAATGAACACGCTTGAAAACACTACCTTGGTCACCATGAGCTTCGTTCTGTGTATATGTATGTAATATATATATGTGTAACATAACACAACATAACATAGCAGGCAAAAATTAAAGCAAAGTGCTAATTAAAAAAATGTAATGCGAAGCAAAACATAAAAGCAATGCTGCCACATTGACTTAACATGTAAATATGTAGAAGAACGTCGTATGTCACTCACCAAATCCACCACCTTGTCAAACACGTAGCTTGAAGTGGAGAATTTGGCAAAAATAAATAACACAAATTGCAACACAATGTGAAAAATGATGAACAATATTCCCCTAGTAGTATCGCAAAGCGATCGTACAGAAGAAATCACTCGTCGTGTGACATCGTCAACAACAAAAAGCACCAGCTAGACGCAATGACGTCTCACAAATAATTTTTATATACATTTAATGTCATGTAATTCGATGTAATTATAGTACACGCTACAACAATCCCTAATCTAAGGCATAAAAGCCTTTCAAGCAAAAATGCACATAGAAAAAGGGAAAGTAGACCGTCCTGCCTGCTATCATGCAAACACATAGTTTGAAGTGGCGAGGCAACGGATGTAACGTGACATCGTCAACAACAAAAACGTGATGACATGTCACAAATAATCATATATACAGTAGAACACGGATATAACGAACTCCAAGGGACCACGAAATTTAGTTCGCTATATCCGGTGTTCGTTATTCACATTTGATAATAATGGAACTGAGAGTGGATTTTGGAATGCCAAAGTCGTAAGCGATGTTTGTCTTAGATTTCACACCTGAATCTACAGCCTGAATTATCTGAAGCTTGGTGTCAAAAGTGATGGCTTTACGTTTGCCTGCCATAGTGACGAGAGTGCACTGAAGACCTGTATACCAGTCAAGCTTTTAAACACGACGTTTGTTTTGATAAACACGTTAATGACCATCGAACAATGTTGATTCGCCGCCAACAAGGTTGATGTATACCGCTAAGTGGCTGAGCTGACACTGAGCTGACACTGAGTGAGTTCGCTAATCACGTCGTTAGTTGGGCTTGGGGGTAGTAAATCAGTTCGCTATAGCCGTTAATTCGCTACTCACGAGTTCGTTATTCGCGTATAATTTTAATGATATTATAAAGGACTGTTGACGGGACTTTTAAATTTGTTCGCTATATCCGTTTGTACGCTATATCCGTGTTCGTTTTATCCGTGTTCTACTGTATACATGTAATGCAATGTAATTATAATACACGCTACAACAATCCCTAATCTAAGGCGTAGTTGCCTTTCAAGCAAAAACGCACATAGAGTGAGTGAGTGAGTTAGTTTAGTATGACGCCGCACTCAGCAATATTCCAGCTATATGGCGGTGGTCTGTAAATAATCGAGTCTGGATCAGACAATCCATTGATCAGCTACATGAGCACTGATCTGTGCTACTGGGAACCGTTGACATGTGTCAACCAAGTCAGCGAGCCTGACCACCCGATCCCGTTAGTCGCCTCTTACGACAAGCATGGGTTACTGAAGATCGAAAACGCACATAGAAAAAGGGAAAGCAGACCACCCCACTCGCCATCTTGCATATAAATGGTTTGAAGTGACGAAAAAGTTACAACATTTATCAATGAAAATTGTTCGAAATGCGTTCCATGTATCACCCATGCGAATAGAAAAGAACTATACATACAGTATTAATTTCTTTCTCACCCATCTTTATCTTTGTTTGCTAGGAATTCAACTTGAAAAAAGTTGACAGGACAGCACCCATATCTTCACCATGTGAATGACAGCATGGAAAGTGAGTTACAAGGTTCAGGGTTAGAGTTACCTGCTCTTGGCTGTAGGGGCCCAGCGGGGCCCTGCGTTGGTGGTCGAACAAGACAAAAACGTGTTTTTGGTTTTGTAAATATTTTATTCAAATATAGTTACAACTGTCGTAGGAATTTAACATGAACGTTTAAATGTTTATAAGTACCCCAAGGAGGACCTCTTCTGAAAAAGAACCTATCAAATATGTCAAACAGCATACCTTTTTAATAATGGTGGTATAAAATTCTATATGTCCCAGATGTTCCGTAGACATAGTTCCCTCATTGTGATGGGCATTCAGGTGATTGTCATCTGGAAAACCAAGAACTAATTTAGCTGTCAGCATGGTTACAAACTTCTTTCTATATGAGAGGCTATGACGAAGTCTACGTTTTCAGTGAAGAGATAAATTCAATTACTTTACATAACAAAGTTAACCTATTAAACTTTCCCAAATGTCCTGTAGAGCTTTACCTTTAATAAACATATTCATAGAGGAGCATAGGTGACTCAAGCATGGAAATAAAGTTTCCTTTAACTCTCTTTTTACATGTCAGTTCAAGATATATATTCTTAGTCAGAAGTAGTAAATCATATAGTCACCTGTTTCTGTTATGTAATATTTTGAAAAATCCTGAAAGCAAAGGAGGACAATAATATTAGCATTCACAAGTATCAAATCATTCATGAAAAAAAAAAATGAACAATTCTCAAACAAGGTGCTTGCCAGTATGGCATGTGTAATCCATTTTCAAGTTGCTTAATTTCATTTAGGAACCTTCTGCAGAAAATGCACAGTGACTTTACAGCATAATCACTGGAACTAAGGAATGCAACTCTGCATAGTGACTTTACAGCACCTTAACCAAAGGAACTAAGGAATGCATCTATGCACAGTGACTTTACAGCACCTTAACCAAAGGAACTAAGGAATGCATCTATGCACAGTGACTTTACAGCACCTTAACCAAAGGAACTAAGGAATGCAACTCTGCATGGTGACTTTACAGCACCTGACCAAAGGAACTAAGGAATGCAACTCTGCATAGTGACTTTACAGCACCTTAACCAAAGGAATTAAGGAATGCAACTCTGCATGGTGACTTTACAGCACCTTAACCAAAGGAACTAAGGAATGCAACTCTGCACAGTGACTTTACAGCACCTTACCAAAGGAACTAAGGAATGCAACTCTGCACAGTGACTTTACAGGACCTTACCAAAGGAACTAAGGAATGCAACTCTGCATGGTGACTTTACAGCACCTTATCAAAGGAACTAAGGAATGCAACTCTGCACAGTGACTTTACAGCACCTTAACCAAAGGAACTAAGGAATGCAACTCTGCACAGTGACTTTACAGCACCTTAACCAAAGGAACTAAGGAATGCAACTCTGCATGGTGACTTTACAGCACCTTAACCAAAGGAACTAAGGAATGCAACTCTGCATGGTGACTTTACAGCACCTTAACCAAAGGAACTAAGGAATGCAACTCTGCATGGTGACTTTACAGCACCTTAACCAAAGGAACTAAGGAATGCAACTCTGCATAGTGACTTTACAGCACCTTAACCAAAGGAACTAAGGAATGCAACTCTGCATGGTGACTTTACAGCACCTTACCAAAGGAACTAAGGAATGCAACTCTGCATGGTGACTTTACAGCACCTTAACCAAAGGAACTAAGGAATGCATCTATGCATAGTGACTTTACAGCACCTTAACCAAAGGAACTAAGGAATGCATCTATGCACAGTGACTTTACAGCACCTTAACCAAAGGAACTAAGGAATGCAACTCTGCATAGTGACTTTACAGCACCTTAACCAAAGGAACTAAGGAATGCAACTCTGCATGGTGACTTTACAGCACCTTACCAAAGGAACTAAGGAATGCAACTCTGCATAGTGACTTTACAGCACCTTAACCAAAGGAACTAAGGAATGCAACTCTGCATGGTGACTTTACAGCACCTTAACCAAAGGAACTAAGGAATGCAACTCTGCATGGTGACTTTACAGCACCTTAACCAAAGGAACTAAGGAATGCAACTCTGCATGGTGACTTTACAGCACCTTAACCAAAGGAACTAAGGAATGCAACTCTGCATGGTGACTTTACAGCACCTTAACCAAAGGAACTAAGGAATGCAACTCTGCATAGTGACTTTACAGCACCTTAACCAAAGGAACTAAGGAATGCAACTCTGCATGGTGACTTTACAGCACCTTAACCAAAGGAACTAAGGAATGCAACTCTGCATGGTGACTTTACAGCACCTTACCAAAGGAACTAAGGAATGCAACTCTGCATGGTGACTTTACAGCACCTTAACCAAAGGAACTAAGGAATGCATCTATGCACAGTGACTTTACAGCACCTTAACCAAAGGAACTAAGGAATGCAACTCTGCACAGTGACTTTACAGCACCTTAACCAAAGGAACTAAGGAATGCAACTCTGCATGGTGACTTTACAGCACCTTAACCAAAGGAACTAAGGAATGCAACTCTGCATAGTGACTTTACAGCACCTTAACCAAAGGAACTAAGGAATGCAACTCTGCATGGTGACTTTACAGCACCTTACCAAAGGAACTAAGGAATGCAACTCTGCACAGTGACTTTACAGCACCTTAACCAAAGGAACTAAGGAATGCAACTCTGCACAGTGACTTTACAGCACCTTTATCACTGGGAACTAAGGAATGCAACTCTGCATAGTGACTTTACAGCACCTTAACCAAAGGAACTAAGGAATGCAACTCTGCATAGTGACTTTACAGCACCTTAACCAAAGGAACTAAGGAATGCAACTCTGCATAGTGACTTTACAGCACCTTAACCAAAGGAACTAAGGAATGCAACTCTGCATAGTGACTTTACAGCACCTTAACCAAAGGAACTAAGGAATGCAACTCTGCATAGTGACTTTACAGCACCTTAACCAAAGGAACTAAGGAATGCAACTCTGCATAGTGACTTTACAGCACCTTAACCAAAGGAACTAAGGAATGCAACTCTGCATAGTGACTTTACAGCACCTTAACCAAAGGAACTAAGGAATGCAACGCTGCATAGTGACTTTACAGCACCTTTATCACTGGGACTAAGGAATCCAACTCTGCATGGTGAGTTTCACCACAATCACTACTAGTCACATAAATGCATATAACAATTTCCCTGCTAATGATGTACATTATACCAATGCATACAATGTTGACTTACTAAGTAATACAGGAGAGCATACGCCACCATGGCAATGGCACAGACTGCGGTGGCTGTCATGAAGTAGCCAAATGCACTCTGTGACACAGTTCCCGACCCTAGGAGTGAGAAGATGCTGGCCAGTGCAGCAAACGTACCTCCAACAGCCTGAAAGTAGATATGAAGTCAGATGGGGTTTAATGCCTGAAGTAGCAGTCCATTTGGCTAAATGTTGCAGGAAGGCCTAAGCTGACACCATTTAATCCCTGAATGTGGGCATGTTGCTGACTAGAATCAGGAAGAATATGGGACTTCAACTGTGACCAGCTGATTCTGTCATAATGGGCACAACTCCTAAGCCAGGGCAGACCACCCCCATCTCCAGTACATTTGGAGGAACAAGTGACATTTATGACTGCCCAGTCAGTAAGAACACATATTTATTGCATCAAAAACATCACAAAATAAACAGGAAAACTTTCACTCATGGCCACTTATGTCTGCTGTGTAAATATTTCCACTGCTTTTACTACTTCAACAATATATCAAACAGATTGTTGTTCCGACAGTTCATGATACCCACCATTTCTACTTGTTACCTATCTTACAGGTATGACAAGGGAACCAAACAAGCAAACATTCACAGTAGAAACATGATGCTGAGGAAAATGATAGTCCAAAGATTACAGCCACAAGATTCTCTAGCGTATGTGAAATTTTCTTGAACACTTACTCTTACTTACAAGACTACATCCTTGCCTATCCTATGTTAGTCTTACTCATCTCATGCTGTGCAACTTTCCCTTCTTCTTTTGATGATGGTATGGAAAACAACCTGAAACAAAGTTTCCTGCCTGTTGTAACACCTCACCTGAACACACCACTTGCCCTGGCCAACTATGTGACACCCAACTGAAATCATTCTCTTGTCTTGGAGTCAGACTGACTGACTGACTCACAGTTTGGTTTTACGCCACTTTTAGCAATATTCCAGCAACATCACGGCTGGGGACACCACTTGGAGTCAGAACCAATCTTGAAATTTGTGTTGTGTGGTTGGGCATGTGGATGTCCATCATGTGAGATAAGATAAGTATCATAAATACACAATGCATTTTCAATTCTTTCAACTAATCCTATCTCACTTAGGGCACTTGGATGGTGTCTCCTCCCAGGGACTAAAGGATTCTGATGTTGATGTTAAGAACCTAAGAACCTTTCGGTCCCCAGTCCCAGACAGCAGGTTCTTCAATTTACGGAGGTAATGAGACAACTGTGCTTATCCTGCAACTCACAGCCTAGATGTATCCTTGTAGTCAAGGAACAAGTGAAATGAACGGGCACGTTCTGAGTGCATACAACATGCTGGACGTTATTACCCCAGATAACCCAAGGTGTCTGTGAGGCACTGAGGTTAATAGTCACATGACTTATCCCACCAGGTACCTATTTTCAGCTGGGTGAACAGAGGCAATTTTGAACATACTCGCTAGCCTAAGGTCAGACCAAATGTGTCATGTGTGCTTCGTTGTAGGGGAGGACAGAAGTCCTACAAATGCTGATGCTCTGGCAGATCAAACAAAATATCTCTGGATGGAGTCTCCATTCAGTTGGTTTGGGCAAGAGGGAGCGTTGGCTATGATGGTGTTCTGAATTTCAGCAGTGTGTCTGACATCGAGCAATGGGATATTGCTAGAATTGCCGCTTTGAATTCCAAGTTGTTGAAGTGGAGTGGTTGATCATCAACTTGCCACATCCCTGCCACTCTTTGATCCGGAAGATGATGCACTAATGAAGAGACTCAGTTGCAGATGTCCAACTCTATCAGCCACCACCAAAGGTACTGAATGAGAGATGGTGAATAAAACTTGGATCGTGGATCACTGATCTGAAGAAACGGATGAAGGGGGAATGGAAGCGGTTGTTACTGCAGCTGTCGCTGCAGAGTAAGGGCCTTGGCTGAAAAGCCCAGAACCCAGAAAAACACAGTCACCAGGACAAGATGCACACGTTACATATGCTAAAAGTAACTGCCTACAACACTAGATGTAGCAGGGGTGTGTTTGCATGAGGTGTTACAAGGGGCTGGAAACTTTGTTTCAGGTTGTTTCAACTCCACACTTGAAAGATAAAAGGGAAAGTGCATGATGTGAGGATCAGTTAAAAACAAAGAAAATCTAGATGAATCAATTATCATGGGATACTACACAAGTGAGCTCAGAAAGAAAAACACATCTTCGTAAAATTGGCTAAACAGACCACTGTGAGATATGTTTGTAGAGGTCCTATAGAGCTTAAGGAATGCTGCATTGTCATGATATTTATTGTTTCAGAGAAAATATACACATGGACAATATGCCATGATAGCTAGATCACTGGAAACTTGGATTCAGATGAGCAGTGCCATATTCACCTGTCCAGTCATGACTGACTGAGTGTACATCGGGGGGAAATCGGCACACGAGCCCAAACACTGACCCTGTCATCACAGCTGTTGCACCTGCAAGACACACAGAAGCTTTGATTATATTTCTACACTACACTCACAAACTAAAAGTTTTTATTAAAGCTTAAAGGTCACATGCAACCAAAAAATCAAACATAATTAAAACACAATTATCACTTATTCATGACATATAATATACATGGCTGATTATGAAAAAAATATATAAACAAATTATAAGCGTACAATCGCAAATCAAAAGTGCAATATTTTGTACTTGGGTTTACTTCCAAGAAACGAAGCAGCTGGGATACCGAACCCAGTCAGAGCGGGTGGGTCTGCACTCAAGTGTAACGGCTGGTTCATTTGCAGATGCCCTCATGGCTCATTGTGTGTGTATATATAGAGATGTTTGGGTTTTGTAAATACATGCTCATTTTTTTGTGTATAACATTTTGCAATCAACAGACATCATAACATGTCATGTGTACAAGTATCACACCTGCCTGTCTGTGTAATTACATAATGTGACAGAGACCGAACTCAGGCCATAAATCAATGCGTTTTGTTTATGGTGTATAGACTGATAGGTGTGTGGTAAGTTCCAACTGCATGTGGTCAGTGATTAAAGTTGTGTATTGCAGTTTGTTTGCAACCCAAGGACATAATAACATGTCATGTGTACAGATATCACACCTGCCTGTCTGTGTAATTACATAATGTGACAGACAGAACTCTTGCGCACTAGCCATAAATCAATGTATTTTGTTTATGGTGTATAGCCCGATAGGTGCTAAGTTCAAATTGCATGTGGTCAGTGATCAAAGTTGTGTATTGAATATTGTCATTATCAGACAGGCAGGCAGACACATAGGTGCCAATAAAACAGAAATTGAGTTTTGTCTGTGACAACGACATATCTATATCACAGTTAGAAATTCTGTCAACGCTAAATAATGACATTGCTTTTAAGTATCGAACTGAGAAAGTGACTCGGTAAGAAGAACGTGTGGTGAAATAGACAAATGAAATTATATAAACAGTTAAATCGGTAATCTACTGTCATAACATACATAAAAACATGAACAAATATCAACAAAACATCAGAAAAATAGCACACACCAAAGCCTTTACCGAGTATTCACTGGACAACCCGCTTCCAAGCTGCGCGAACCTATTTCACTGCACATGTGCTATGAGGGGGAAAAATGTAATTTTTAGAGTAAAATTGATATTTTATACTTATCCTGACTCATGCTTATTGCTTGTCTTCTTCTTCTTTGCGAACATAGTGGAACACGTGTATTTCCCTATTGAAGTTCCCTTCAATAAAAAATCACTAATTAGAACTCACCACGAGTTACCTCCCTTCCACAAGCGCGGGAACGAGGGCGCCACCTCCACCCATGTGCCTCACTCTCTCCTCATATACTGAGCCCAACATTTGAATTTTCAGGGAAATCCAAAGTGTTATGTGGGGAGGATGGGAGGGCTTACCTCATGAGTCAGGATAAGTATAAAATATCAATTTTACTCTAAAAATTACATATTTTTCCTTATCCTGACTCATGCTGATTGCTTGTAGAATCTGACGGAAAAGGAGGTGGGAATATATAATACTTTGGATTTTAATAATTAGTGATTTGAACTGTGATGATTGTAATAACCCTATGGGAACTTCATAAAGGCACTGAACTGATGAATTCCTGCTGCTAACTTATCAGCTGCCATATAAAGGTTATTACAATTTACTTATTATGATAAAAGTATATATAACATTAATACAATGCTTAAGACTAAAGACTAAGACTTAAGCTTGTTAATATGATAGCATAAACTCCTTAGAGTTTGTTAGCTAAAATACTTTTATCATATAAACATAGTACTGAGCTTAAGATATGATTAAACTTAAGCTAAATATATAATAGCAAAACTCTGTAGAGTTTGTTAGCTAATACATTTTATAATGTAACCATAATGCTTAAGATATGATGAAACTTAAGCTAAATATATAATAGCAAAAAACTCTTTAGAGTTTGTTAGCTAATATACTTACATGATATAAACATAGTACTGAGCTTAAGATATGGTTAAACTTAAGCTATGTATATAATAGCAAAACTCCGTAGAGTTTGTTAGCTAATACATTTTATAATGTACCATATATGACCGTCTATAACCCGACCCCATGGATAAGCCGACCCCCAAACTTGACCCTCAAAATCAGTGTCAAAATCATATCTCTCATGGATAGGCCGCCCCCCTGCGATGGGTCGCGGCCAACAGAGACCAGAGTACCCGGTAAGTATGTTCCATCAACGACGAGACACCATTACGAGAATATTACATAATAAAGATTACCGGTGTTTGTTTACCTTTTTTTAACGATCACTGCTTGCATCAACAACGAGACGCCATTTGGAAAGTGGATATACAGCGTAAGTGTTGGTGAGAATATTACATAATAAAGATTACCGGTGTATTGTGGCAACATGTGTTTGTGTTCCTTTTTATATCCCGACAATCACTGCTTGCATCAACAACGAGACGCCATTTTGTGAAATCGGTGAGTATGGAAATGTGAACCCAAGAGAAAAAGTACCATCGGTAAATAAAAACTGAAGTCAACTTTTGTTTCAAAATATATTATTTAAGTGTCCATATTTCATCTATATATATATGACAATAAGAAAAATAGTCCACTAACAATAAACATGCGACAAACTCATCCCACAGACAACTGGCAGTTACCAATAATTATAACTTTGGTCCACATTATTCAAAGAATTCACTGTCATATATATTGTGTCTACTCAATGGATCGAAGCGAAGTGTAGTTGACAGAAAATGCATAATATATTTTGCTTCTCTAAATATCATATTTATTGTAGCAACAAACTGGCTTGCTTATTTTACCCCATTCAACAATCACAAACTGATTACCGCCTTGTTCCATGTCACGCTGCCCACGCTCATGATGGTCCGTGATAACCTTAGTGTTGATTATATATTTTTACATAAAACTATTACACAATGCTAGGATATATTTCTTTTGGTTAAATATAGTATTCAATCAATAGAATTCATCCCGTTATATTATTATGCATGTTTGAACTTGTTCAAGGGGAAACGTGTGCACAGCTGATTGCTATTTCGGCTTTGTGTATGCGAGACAAATACGCACGGTAATCTTAATTAATTTATAGAGCAAAAACTGTAACTAAAATTACACAATGCTAGGATATATTTCTTTGGGTTAAATAACGGTATTCTGTATTATATTTTACTGATGACTGCGTCAGAATTCGTCCCGTTATATTATTGTGCATGTTTGAACTTGTTCGCCGGGAAACGTGTGCACAGCTGATTGCTATTTCCGGCTTTGTGTACGAGACAAATACGCACGGTAATCTTAATCCCTGCAAATAAAACAATGCCCAGCAAAAACAACTTATAACTTAAATGGTAATTAATCTTGTCTAGTGATGTTTAATTGCAAATTTGATGTCTCTACTGACAAAGTCGTCTTCTGTTGTTTGTTCACGCGAAGTGATACGATGTTGTTTTCTTACCCCTGGAAAAAAGTTTGACGAAAGTGTAACTCATGGATAAGACGACCCCCTTCTACAGACTGCTTTTTTTGGTCCTCAAAATTCGGCTTATAGACGGTCATATACGGTAACCATAATGCTTAAGATATGATGAAACTTAAGCTAAATATATAATAGCAAAAAACTCTTTTAGAGTTTGTTAGCTAATATACTTATATGATATAAACATAGTACTGAGCTTAAGATATGAATAAACTTAAGCTACATATATAATAGCAAAAACTCCGTAGAGTTTGTTAGCTAATTCAAGTTATAATGTAACCATAATGCTTAAGATATGATGAAACTTAAGCTAAATATATAATAGCAAAAACTCTTTAGAGTTTGTTAGCTAATATACTTATATGATATAAACATAGTACTGAGCTTAAGATATGAATAAACTTAAGCTACATATATAATAGCAAAAACTCCGTAGAGTTTGTTAGCTAATATATTTTTATGATATGAGTATAGTACTGTGCTTAAGATATAATTAACTTAAGCTACATACATAATAGCAAAAACTCTGTAGAGTTTGTTAGCTAATACATTTATAATGTAACCATAGTACTGAGCTTAAGATATGATTAACTTAAGCTAAATATATAATAACAAACTCCGTAGAGTTGTTAGCCTATATATTGTATGATATAATAACCATAGTACTGAGCTTAAGATAATAAAAGAACTTAAGCAAAATATATATAGCATGTAGCTATTTAGTACTGTTATAAGATAAGTAGAAATCTGTAAGATTGACTTATCTTCTCCGAGGAACTGTCAACTGTTGTGCGAGGACCATGGGACCGAATTGGTGGATACCTGAGACGTCCTCGGTGGTGATATCTCTCAGATAGTGGTTGGCAAACACCATATCGGATCTCCAGAAATAACCCTCCATTATGGTATTTCAATAGCACTTGCAGTGTAGATCAAGTGTAGATGTTAGCGCTCTAATATCATGAGGATTAGAAGCTCTTGGAGGGTCGAGTCCTGCAGTCTTGTAGGCACGTAGTATGACAGTTCTGATCCAAAGGAGATAGTAGTACGTGAGACTTCAGTCTGCATAGCTTGTTGATAGAGGAAATAAATCTCTTGAATTTTTCCCTCCTGTTTGGCTCGGTGGAGATATATTTTCAGTGCTCTTACTGGCCATCGTGATAGATTCATCGTATCATGGGGTCCAAGTATACCATCAAAGCGTGTTCATAAACCTCACTTGTGAGGTGTTGGAGCACTATATTCAGATCCCAAGTTGGAGCGTGAAACTTCCGTTTTAATCCTCCAATCGGAAAGCTCGAAGCAAGGCGAGTAACTGGGTTAAGGTTAACTTGACGCCCGTTCTCAGTTATGACAGAGCTATTGCTGCAAGATAGGTGGACAAGTTGAGCCTTTTAAAATCTTAGTCTGACGTAGATAACATAAGTAGTCAGCCACTTGAAGATGAGTAGCATATCTAGCTGT